TCTTCTAAAAACTCTAATGATATCTAGGTATCTAAGGAGGCATCTTTGGACAACTAAACAATAGATGCTCTCTTCCCTAGGGTTTCTTGGGTTGTCGTAGAAAGACAGTTCTTGCTTTACTGTAACCCTATCTGGGAAAATCATCAGCTGGAGTTCCTTGATGGAAAAGTATTGTAGATCTTCAACTCTCCTGGCCATCGTAATGACTAGAAGAAAAACCATCTTAAAGTCATACATTTTAACAAGCAATCCAGTATAGTATAAGGGCAGGTTGGTGAATTCGTTCAGCTCTTTGACAAATTTTATGGAGGAACAATCTTTTGCTGAATTGGTATTGAACTTTCTCTGATTGAGGTAAGTCTCTTTGCAACCAGATCTTCCACAAGTTTAATGTCTGGAAGATTTAATTTCTAGAAATGATGAAAATGCTTGTATCTGGTCCAAGACTTTTCTTTTTGCTTCAAGGAGAAAAAACATTCCACACTCTTTTGTATAATTTTTTTAAGCAACAATCTTATTTTTAGAAGAGTTTTAATTGCCCACTCTGAGCAACCTTTTGTCTTTTAGCATTAGCTGTTCCAGATCCAGGTCTTTAACTAAAGGAATTCCAGTCTGGAATGTGCTACTGTTCCTTAAAAATGAAGATCTGACATGACTTGCATAATTCAGGAAGACTGGATCGACATCCATGGTAGGTCTGTAAGTTCTCTAGGGCCACCAACAGAACATTTTGTACTCTTGACAGCCTAAGAGAACATAATGTTCTCTCTTGGACCACCAAGGAGCAATCCAATATCTGCACTTGGACAGTTTCTACAGCACCCAAAATATAAGCGTTATAAATCCCAATTTTGGGAGAGGAGATCTTTTCTTCCCTTGTTCTACTTGCATTTCCTGTAGAAGGGGGAACTAATCATTCCTCATATTGCTGTTCTCAAAGATGATTTTTATTTTAGATGGAGTGGGGAAGGGTTAGAACTTTTTTCAGGTTTTCACTGCTGTCTACAGGATTGTATGATAGAAGAGTCTAGAAAAATTTAAATTTGGACTTTATGCAGTCTGTTTTTGGCACTTTCTTCACTGCACGCTCAGTCCCTACTTGCCCAAACAGCCTACCTGTAGGCAACTATTCCTGGGAGAGCTGTCTAGCTAGATTTTTTGCCTCTACAAATTGGGCCCTTTGAACCCCTAAAATGCATTGTATTTTATAGAATAAAAGTGACTTCTGGACTTTATATGTTCTGTTTTGGGCACTTTCCATCCAGTCCAAAAAAACCTACATTTGGCCACCAACCCTGGGAGAGCTGCCTAGGGAGGTTAATTTGCTCTATGTTGCTTAAAGTGGAGCTCCAGTCTCCTGTGAAAAAAAAAAAGTCAGCTGCTATGAAAACTGTAGCTGCTGACTTTTAAAAAAACAGCCACTTACCTGTCCCTTGATCCATCGGTATGCTCACCCCAACCAGGTTCACAGGCTGTCCTTTGTCCCCAGCACTTTAACTGTGGGCACCCGGCTGTGACAGCATGCAGCTTCACAACCGTGTGCCAACTGCACATTTCCTCCCACTGACACCAAAGATGGGGCATTAGTCTATTCCCACTGACGTCAGGACCTTTTCTACTTCCAACAGCCACATTCTGGCCCCCCTAAAGTCTGAAGGACAAAAAATTGGCCCTTTGTTTAGAAAGTTTGGAGACCCCTGGCCTAGGAGGACGGGGCAGAATTGGGAGCAGGTACCTGTCAAAATCGGGTACCCGCTCTCCCCCTCCCCAAGGTGCCAATTCTTAAAGGGGAGCATAGGACCCCTTTTTGGGTGAAGCTCCAAGACAGTGTTTTCCAAGCTATTTTCAGTCACAACAACCTGTAAAAGTATGCAAAATATAGAGGCACCCCAGTAATTGTTACTTCTCAATGGGAAACCTGAACCTGGGATGATGCAAACAATTCCCTTGATGACATTTAACATCACATCAGAAGCCCCCTTCACATGAGGTTCCCTCATCACATCAGAGGTCCCCCTATCACATCAGAGGTTTTTCTATCACATCAGAGGTCCCCCCATCACATCAGAGGTCCCCCCATCACATCAGGGGTCCCCCCCATCACATCAGGGGTCCCCCCCCATCAGGGGTCTCCCCATCACATCAGAAGTTCCCTCATTACATCAGAGGTTCCACCATCACGTCAGAGGTTTCCATCACATCAGACGTACCCATTACATCAGAGGTCTCCCCATCACATCAAAGGTTCCCTCATCACAACAGAGGATCCTCCATCACATCAGAGGTTCCAATCAAATCAGAGATCCCCCATTACATCTGAGTTTTCCCCATTACATCAGCATTTCCCTCATCACATCAGAGATCCCAATTCACATCAGAGGTTCCCCCTTTACATCAAAGGTCCCCCATCACATCAGATGTCCCCTCATATCAGATTCCTCCCATTACATCAGAGGTCCCCATTCACATCAGAGGTCCCCCTTCACATCAAAGGTTCCCCCATTGCATTGGAGGTCGCACATTACATAAGAGGTCCCCCTTCACATCAGAGGTTTCTGCATCACATCAAAACCCCCCTTTTACGTCAAAGGTTCCTCTACACATCAGAGGTCCCCATTCCCATCAAAGGTTCCCCCATTGCATTGGAGGTCCCACATTACATAAGAGGTCCCCCGTCACATCAGAGGTTTCCGCATCACATCAAAACCCCCCTTTTACGTCAAAGGTTCCTCTACACATCAGAGTCCCTCCATCACGTCAAAGTCCCCCTATACATCAGGGGGCCCACAGTCATCAGAATCCGAGATCCCCCATCACATCAGAATCTCCACCTTGATCAGTCCTCCCATCCATCTCTGATCCAGGGCAAACTGGAACCCAAAGAGCACCCAGATGAGAGACACTGTTTCTCTGGGTCATGGTTCAAACCATTGTCTTTTTGCTGTTGGTGGGTCATGGTTCACCCAGCAGAAGATTGCACTCTATCACTAGTATCTACTGTGTCATGTGTTTTCAGATAGGTGGAGCTGGGAACTTTTGGACCTGCATGCTCACAAGTATGGGAACAGGGGGGTTCCCAGTATCTCAGGCTACCATAAGAACATGTTGCTTTCAGGATGGTAATGACTGGCAGCACACAAGTGTGCTATGCTACCTCTTTCTAAATAAAAAGGCAAACTGTCCTTTTTTTTCTTGGCTTGCACCTTTAAATGGTTAACTAGTGTGCAATAGGTCTGCTAATTTTTGGCTGACTCTCCCGCTAGCAGAAGTGTGAAAATCCGCTTGCCTTTCTGCATGCCAAGCAAGCAAAGCTTGGAAAAAAAGAAGAGGAAGAGGGGTGGGGGGGTCATAGCTTCTCAAGGTGGTTGCCTGGGGGAAGAAGAAGGCACTGAACGTGGCAGGGGTGTTAGCTTGACCCCGTGCCACCGAGCTAAAAGCCTTTTGCTGGATAATAAAGAGGTTCTGCTGTGTCCCAATGAGATTTCCTTCCAGCCAGGAACCTCGGAGCAGATTACACAATTCAGCTGCCTTCGTAGATAGCCGCCCTTTGTTCCGTGTGCGCCGGAGACACTTTGACAAATTCACATTGTGGCTGTGTATCGAGCTGGCCTTTCCCGTGTAAGTCATTTGCATGGGCGATGTTCAAGCAACAGAATGTGCCCGCGGCGGGGGCGCCCCATCCGACTTGAGTTTGCAGGCCATTTCCGCTCGGTGTACCTCTTGAGCATCGGCCCCGTTGAGCTACACGGCCGAAAGGTGCAGGGAAATTCAGAATTCTTTATTATTCCCAAATGGGAAAATGCTCAATACATTTTTGTTCAGGCATGAACCAGGGTCACCATCTACCTCTTAGACTGAAATGCCAGCTCAAAGATAACACAATCATGTCAGTCCTAGTGTCTGTGCGTTTCTTGGCTGTGTTCACAAATCTATGACACAGATCGGCCCTTGCTTTAACTTCTCACCTTGTGACTTGCTGCAAAGTTTTAATGTACAGTCTAATTACTGAAGGAGGGGAGACTGAGGAAATCCTTTCCTCACGCTTGCAGCAGACTCATGACATCTTCTCAGCCTAGACAAATCACTGGAAAGAAACTCAAGGATGGCTCTTTATTGATGAAAGATGGAGCTTTCTGAAATATGATACTGACATGTCTGAAGTATATTAACTGCAAATTTGTAAAGCTACTGACAGGTCTGCTTTCTGGCCATGTAACCACAAGAAAGGTGGGCCACACATATATGCATCCAACCTGAGGTTGTGTGCTGTGCAGGGGCGGACTGACCATTTGGAAACTCGGGCACTGCCCGAGGGCCCGAGGTCAGTAGGGGGCCCCATGCGATGCCCCTGGTACCTTTTTCATAGGCTTTTTTGAGTTTGGGCAAGGACACAGGGGCCCCATGATCCCTTATTGCCCGGGGCCCCATGAGTTGTCAGTCCGCCCCTGCACCTGTGTAAACTTAGCCTCAGGGATGTGGTGAGTGCCATATATTCCTGGTGGTGGTCTCACTTCTCATGTTGTCTGGAGCGTTTAGTAAGATTGGGAAAGTGCCACTGCTGGAGGCAGTAATGTGAAATTTGGGCTGTATACCATCCTTGCAATCTGCTATGTCACTCCCTAGCAGGGGCGGACTGACAACTCATGGGGCCCTCGGGCAATAGGGGATCATGGGGCCCCTGTGTCCTTGCCCAAACTCAAAAAAGCCTATGAAAAAGGTACCAGGGGCATCTCATGGGACCCCCTACTGAACCCGGGCCCTCGGGCAGTGCCCAAGTTTCCAAGTGGTCAGTCCGCCCCTGGTGCTGAGTGTGCGCTCAGTTCGTCCATTGTCTGGGTACAAGTGCAATTTAAGACAGTGCATGTGACGCCATCCAAATTGGCTTTTGTTGTGACAGTACAGCTGTGTCAAATTTTTCATGTATTATCTGTGACTAACTGGGGGATCGGGATATATGTGAAGTTCTTGATGTTTCCTGTAAACTGCTGAAACTCATAACTATATGTTTGTGTCTCCCTGCTGCAGGTAACATTATAGGCTCCGGTATCTTCATCTCCCCAAAGGGTGTCCTGGAACACAGCGGGTCTGTGGGCTTGGCATTAATCATCTGGGTCCTCGGGGGCGGGGTCTCTGCTCTGGGCTCCATGTGCTATGCTGAACTTGGAGTCACAATTCCTAAATCAGGAGGTGATTATTCATATGTCACTGAGATTTTTGGTGGGTTAACAGGGTAAGTAATAGAGATTTGGTATCTGTTGTTCTGAACTTGCATTGCCTTCCTCTAGGGTTGGGTCTGTTTTGACAATTTTATGGATGCAAGAATGTGCATTAGCCTATGGGCTGTGGATACAGACATTCAGTGCCTACATTGCTCCAAACTCCATGCATGCAGTATGAACGGTCCTGCTCTGCTTAGATCATTACACCCTTTCAAGCCCACCAGTTGCAGGAACATCTAAAACTATTAAACAAAGGAATGTCCTTTTCGCCTATGAGTTCAAGCTATTCAAAGATGTGAATTTATTCCTGAGGAAGGTGTTTCTCAGAATGATACATGAAAAAACAGATGATTGGTCTGTGTCTACACTAGAGTCATCCATTGAAGACAAGGAAACCCTTGAGATACTAATTTCCCTATGAATGCCGGGTCAGGGAGACTGGATATAGTGAATGCAGGGTCTGGGGAGACCAGATCTAGTGAATGCAGGGTCCGGGGAGACCAGATCTAGTGAATGCAGGGTCTGGGGAGACCAGATCTAGTGAATGCAGGGTCTGGGGAGACCAGATCTAGTGAATGCAGGGTCCGGGGAGAGCAGATCTAGTGAATGCAGGGTTCGGGGAGAGCAGATCTAGTGAATGCAGGGTCCGGGGAGAGCAGATATAGTGAATGCAGGGTCCGGGGAGAGCAGATATAGTGAATGCAGGGTCCGGGGAGAGCAGATATAGTGAATGCAGGGTCCGGGGAGAGCAGATATAGTGAATGTAGGGTCCGGGGAGAGCGGATCTAGTGAATGCAGGGTCCGGGGAGACCGGATCTAGTGAATGCAGGGTCCGGGGAGACCGGATCTAGTGAATGCAGGGTCCGGGGTGAGCGGATATAGTGAATGCAGGGTCCGGGGAGAGCGGATATAGTGAATGCAGGGTCCGGGGAGAGCGGATATAGTGAATGCAGGGTCCGGGGCAGGGGTGGACTGACCATTTGGAAACTCGGGCACTGCCTGAGGGTCCGGGGTCAGTAGGGGGCCCCATGAGATGCCCCTGGTTCCTTTTTCATAGGCTTTTTTGAGTTTGGGCAAGGACACAGGGGCCCCATGATCCCCTATTGCCCGGGGGCCCCATGAGTTGTCAGTCCGCTCCTGGTCCGGGGTTTAGTAACACTTTAACTCTAAATTATGGCCCTAGAATTATTACTTGTTTATCATCCCCTAAATGAGCAGGCAACCTCTGCAACAGCAAGGCAGGCCCATTACAAGGGTGAATTATTTTTTCCCTGGCGTTTAGCTTTAAGGACACGCCTCTGAGGTAAAGGTAACACAACTGGTTGAACTATGCTAGACCAATCATAAGTCCTGGCCCCTCCCACCTATAGCACACATACCCCTGCGAATCTTACTTACTGTGAATGTTGTATATAATAAACCACAATGTTCTACCTGCCAGCCTGATTCTCTTCTGCCAATTCTTGCAGGTTCCTGCTTCTATGGAGTGCCGTTCTCATTATGTACCCCACCAGCCTGGCGGTCATTGCACTGACATTCTCCAACTACGTCCTCCAGCCTGTGTTCCCGGACTGTATACCACCATATGATGCCACCAGGACCCTCTCATTGGTCTGTCTGTGTAAGTTTCCCAGGTACATAGCTATGAGTTGGGGACAGAAAAGAGTGAGTTGCATTCTAACTGCTGATAGACCATTGAAGAGATTGTAAGGTTTGAGGTCCGGTCACACCATTTCACGGCAGTGATGCACACATGTTCAATGTGGGGTGGTGTTGGTGCATTTTTAATGGCTATCAGAGCAAGTTACATGTGACCGCCAGATTCCTGCGGCAAAAATCAGAAGGTTCTTGCCTCTGGAATGACCAGGTCAAGCAATCGGTAGCTTCTGCTCAGCCATGATCTGCGCCTAGGCGTGACACCTGTCCCTAACCACAGCTAACCGCTCTATGTGTAGCTACAGTGCTGTGAAAAAGTATTTGCCCCCTTCCTGATTTTTTTTTTTTTTTTTTTTTTGCATAATCGTCACACTTAAATGATTCAGATCAACAAAAAAATTGTTAATATTATACAAGGATAACCCGAGTAAATACAAAATGCAGTTTTTAAATGATGATTTCAATTATTAAGGGTAAAAAAGCTGTCCAAACCTGCCTGGCCCTATGTGATAAAGTAATTGCCCCCTCTGCTTGCTAAATCATGAATGAACTGTGATTAAGCATATTTTATGGAAAGCTGCGTTAAATTTCACTTGCCACACTCAGGCCTGATGACTGCCAGACCTGTTGAATCAAGAAATCACTTAAATAGAAGCTGTCTGTCAAAGTGAAGCAATCTAAAAGATCTCAAAAAGCAACACACATCATTCCGCAATCTAAAGAAATTCATGAACAGATGAGAATCAAAGTAATTGCCATGTATCAGTCTGGAAAGGGTTACAAAGCCATTTCTGAGGCTTTGGGGCTCCAGCAAACCATGATTAGAGCCATTATCCACAAATGGAGAAAAACTTGGAATAGTGGTGAACCTTCGCAGAAGTGGCCAGCCTACCAAAATTACTCCAGAAAGGGTTACAAAAAGCCATTTCTAAGGCTTTGGGGCTACAGCAAACCATGATTAGAGCCATTATCCACAAATGGAGAAAAAACTTGGAACAGTGGTGAACCTTCCCAGGAGTGGCTGGCCTGCCAAAATTACTCCAAGAGCACAACGACGACTCATCCAGGAGGTCATAAAAGAACCCAGAACAACATCTAAAGAACTGCAGGCCTCACTTAAGGTCAATGTTCATGATTCAACAATAAGAAAGAGACTGGGCAAAAATGTCCTCCATGGGAGAGTTCTAAGGTGAAAGCCATTGCTGACCAAAAAGAACACAAAGGCTCAAGCCACATTTGACAAAAAAACTCTTGATTATCCCCAAGACTTTTGTGCAAATATTTTGTGGACTGATGAGACAAAAGTTGGACTTTTTGAAAAGTGTGCATTTCCTTACATCTGGTGTAAAACTAACACAGCATTTTGTAAAAAGAACATCATACCAACCATGGTGGTGGTAGGGTGATGGTCTGGGTCTACTATGAAGCTTCAGGACCTGGATGACTTGCCATAAGTGATGGAGCCATGAATTCTGTGCTGTACCAGAAAGTCCTGAAGGAGAATGTCCAGCCATCAGTATGTGACATTTGGGTTATGCAGCAGGACAATAATCTGAAACACACCAGCAAGTCCACCTCAAAATTAAGGTGTTGGTGTGGCCTAGTCAAAGTCCAGACTTAAATCCTATTGAGATGATGTGGCATGACCTTTAACCAGCCCCTTCATGCTCGAAAACCATCCAATGTTGGCTGAATTAAAGAAATTCTGCAAAGAAGAGTGGACCAACATTCCAACATTACAAAAAAGTAATCAAAAGTTCCATTGCTCAATCAAATGATCACATACTGAAAATGCGAGCTTAGAGATAGGGCCCATTTAAACCTACACTGCATGCGTTGTGCTACCATACATGGCATTGTATTACAAAACATTGGCCACATCCTATTTTTGAAACTTCAAGGTGTATTGGCATCACATTCATTTCAATATGCTGCCTTAATGCAATGCATGTTCACATGGGATATGAGGCATGTCAGGCCCAGATCTAGGGGTGCTGGGGTGGGCTGTTCCCCCCAAGATCTCTGAGAGTGCATCCACTAATCTGAGACTTGATGGGGACAATTGATGTAAGGGGGACTCTGATAGGGCATTTGATGTGAATGGGCTCTCTGATGGGGGCAGTTGATGTAATGAGACTCTCTGATGGGGGCAGTTGATGTAAGGAGGCTCTCTGATGGGGGCAGTTGATGAAAGGAGGCTCTCTGATGGGGGCAGTTAATATAATGAGACTCTCTGATGGGAGCAGTTGATGTAATGAGACTCTCTGCTGGGGGCAGTTGATGTAATTTTACTCTCTGATGGGGGCAGTTGATTTAAGGAGGCTCTCTGATGGGGGCAGTTGATGTAAGGAGGCACTCTGATGGGGGCAGTTGATGTAATGAGACTCTCTGATGAGGGCAGTTGATGTAAGGAGGCACTCTGATGGGGGCAGTTGATGTAATGAGACTCTCTGATGGGGGCAGTTGATGTAAGGAGGCACTCTGATGGGGGCAGTTGATGTAAGGAGGCTATCTGATGGGGGCAGTTGATGTAAGGAGGCTCTCTGATGGGGGCAGTTGATGTAAGGAGGCTCTCTGATGGGGGCAGTTGATGTAATGAAACTCTCTGCTGGGGGCAGTTGATGTAAGGAGGCTCTCTGATGGGGGCAGTTGATGTAAGTTGGACTCTGATTGGGGCAGTTGATGTAAGGAGGCTCTCTGATGGGGGCAGTTGATGTAAGGAGGCTCTCTGATGGGGGCAGTTGATGTAAGTTGGACTCTGATTGGGGCAGTTGATGTAAGGAGACTCTCTGATGGGGCAGTTGACGTAAGGAGGCTCTTTGATGGGGGCAGTTGATGTACTGTAAGTTGGACTCTGACGGGGCAGTTGATATAAGTAGGCTCTCTCTTGGAGAGAGTTGATGCAAAGGGACATTCTGATGGGAGCAGTTGATGTAAAAGGATGCACTGTTGCGTACACCTGATGTAAGGGGGAACTCTGATGAGGACTCCTGATGTAAGGGGAACTCTAATGAGGACTCCTGATGTAAGGGGGAACTCTGATGAGGACTCTTGATATAAGGAGGGATATAGGGGGGCACAGGTCCTGTTTAATCTTCCTAGTCTAATGACAGCCTAACACATATTATCGTTCCCTGGTCGCTCCTGCACCGCCTCTGCACTACCTGTCAGATGTTACTTCTTCGTATTACAGAAGCACGCTTAGTGAACAGGTAATACTGGTTCCCTGCATCTTTGTCACACTATTGACATTATGCCCCCTGACTTTTTTTTATTGCACCCCAAGATCCAGGCCTAATGCGCATTAACACCCCCCAAAAATGTAAATGAGTCCTGAAGGTTTTTGTAATACTAATAATGGGGACTCAGTTAATGCAGATTGGGTAGCTTTGCTTTTGAGGATGAGGGAGGGAACTCAAGAGATGCCCTGATATTACATACATACAGTATATACATATATAAATACCCCAATAAATATCACGTTATGTGGAATCCGGTGTGGTCCTTTCTCAGAAATGTATTCTCATGAGTCCTGAGGATGGCTTGTGCCATAGTGCTTGCTGTGTTGAGACCCTTGACCTTTGCCATGCACCACCCAGAAGGTGTCCCCCTCACCTGAACAGTCTCTTTTTACTTGCAGTGCTGCTGACCTGGGTGAACAGCTCCAGTGTCCGGTGGGCCACCAGGATTCAGGACATCTTCACAGCTGGGAAGCTCTTGGCCTTGGGCCTCATCATAGTTGTCGGCTTCATGCAAATATTTAAAGGTGCCGATTATTTATTTGTTGTTTCATAATTAATAATAGCAATAGAACATCAGCTTTCATGAAATGATAACATGCTAAACATATTTAACAACGTCACAAAATTCCAACTTAAGAAACTTCTGATGGAAGCTGCCATTCTTCTCCTAGGCAGTTTGAAGCTGGGCTTGTTGCCGATCTGGGGTTTAGGAACCCACTTTTCCTCCAGAGGGCACTGAGCAAGGTTTCAATGCTTGAACACATGTAAAGAACCTGATAGGATTTTTTTATGTGGCAGCATATGTTCCAATGTTGCGTCCCATTGGAGGAATTTGTGTGCCAGCTACAGCATCCAATTATAAAGGCCATAGGCTCCTAGGTACTGTACATTGCCCATGGGTTCTACAATCATGAACATGAACTCTTAGTTCGTTTAATAAAATAATACCAGGTGATCCTACCATAAAGGTTATTGTTCAGGCATTTCCTGTTATGAGGTGACAACGCTCTGTCCAATTGTGCTCTTGCGTTGTCACCCTGTCACACAGCCTTCCAATGGAGACAACAAGTGGCCATCTCAACTCATTATACAAGCATGGTCCAGGGTTGTCACCTGTAGGAAACCCCTGAGAAATGCCATGCAGACATAAAGTGCCTGCATAGAGGCTGCAGAAAAATCAGCAGAACTGAGATGTATGAAGAATTTACAAAAAAAGAAAAGTTGAAAACAATATTATATTTACAGATATGGCAATGGTTTATGGTGCACCCAGCAAACCTAATGTCACCCACATAGGGTTTAGCTTTACTTTATCTCCTCAGTTTCCACCTACTGAAATATCCATTTTGGTTGGACTGATCCTTTAAATACATAAAAAATAAAAGCTACTACAAAAATATTCGTCATGCATTTTTGAGGCTGATATATAGTTTGCTTTTTTGACAGGTAACTATGAAGAGTTAAAACCAAGCAACGCATTCAATTTTTGGATGACCCCCACGGTGGGGCAGTTGGCGCTGGCCTTCTTGCAAGGCTCATTTGCATTCAGCGGCTGGAACTTTCTGAATTATGTCACAGAAGAGCTAGTCGATCCCAGAAGGTACTTGTAGCCATATCCTCGTTGTGTAATCATCTGTTCTAGTGGGAGGAGATGCAGAGTGGACCTTCTTGAAGTGCCGCCTTCCACCTATTGAATTCGGATGTCTCCAGTGTAGCGTACTGATAATACTACATCATACAAAGACATTGTAGACAACCGAGCTCTTCCAACCTTGGGGTAACAGTTTGAGGAAGACCCTTTTCTGTCCCACCATTACATAGCACCAAACCAGCTCCATGAAGACATGGTTTGACCAGTTTGGTGTGGAAAAACTTGAGTGTCCTGTACAGAGCCCTGGCCTCAACCCTACTGAACTGCAATTGTAATCCGGGTTTTCAAGATCAAACTTAAGTACCAGATCCAGTGAATGGGCACACATTTCCACAGAAACCCCCAAAATCTTACGGAAAGTCTTCCCAGAAGAGTAGAGGTTGTTGTAGCGGTCTCCCATGGGGAGAACTTCATATTAATTGCCATGGGGGAAACGCCATGTTAATGTCCATAGAAAAAAACTGCATATTAATGGTCATGGGGGAACCCAATATTAATAGCCATGGGGTCGATTCCATATCAATGGCCATGGGGGGATCTCCATATTAATGGTCATGGGGGGGGGACTCCAAATTAATGGCCTTGGTTGGAACTCCATATTAATGTCCATGGGGGGAACTCCAAATAATTACCCATGGGGGGAGCTCCAAATTAATGGCCATACCATCCATACTAATGGCATGGGGAAAACCCATGGGGGGAGCTCCAAATATGGCCATACTCCATACTAATAATTATATTAATGGCCATGGGGGAACTCCAAATAATTACCCATGGGGGGAGCTCCAAATTAATGGCCATACTCCATTCTAATGGTCATGGGGGAAAACTTTATATTAATGGCCATGGGGAACTCCAAATAATTGGCCAGGGGGGGGGGGGGACTCCATATTAAGGGCCATGGGGGCAGCTTCAAATTAATGACAATGGAGGGAAATTCAATATCAATGGTCATGGGGGAAGACTCTATAGTAATGGCCAGGGGAGCGAGGGGACTCCTTTGTGGAGTGGAGGTTGTTGTAGTGGTCTCCCATGGGGAGAACTTCATATTAATTGCCATGGGGGAAACTCCATATTAATCTCCATGGGGGTAACCCTATATTAATAGCCATGGGGTCAACTCCATATTAATGGCCATGGGAGAGCGGGTCTCCATATTAATGTCAATTGGGAGGGGGTGGGGGACACGACTCCATATTAAAAGCTATTGGGTGAACTCCATATTATTAGCCATGAAAGAAAACTCCATATTAATGGTCATTGGGGGAACCTAATATTTATATCCATGGGGTCAACTCCATATTAATAGTGATGGGGGAAACTCCATATCAGTGGCCATGGGTGAAGACTATATTAATGGCCATGGGAGAGGGGGTCTTCATATTAATACCCATGGGAGGGGGACACACTACTCCATAATAAAAGCCATTGGGGGGAACTCCATATTATTAGCCAAAGAAGAAAAAGCCACATTAATGGTCATGGGGGAAACCCAATATTTATAGCCATGGGGTCAACTCCATATTAATGGTCATGGGGGAAACCCAATATTTATAGCTATGGGGTCAACTCCATATTAATGGCTATGGGGAAGGGGGTCTCCATATTAATGCCACACTAGCTCATATTAGCCATGGGGTCAACTCCATATTAATGGTCTGGTGGGAACTCCATATTAATGGCCATGAGGGAAAACTTTATATTAGTGGCCATGGGGGAAAAATTCTGTGTCATCGGCCATAGGAGAAAACTCCATATTAATTGCCAGGGGTCCTGGGATTAGATTGTGAGCTCTGATGACTCTCTCAGCACTATACACATTGTTTGTGTCTTCCAGGAATCTACCTCGTGCCATATTTATCTCCATCCCCCTGGTCACCTTCGTCTACACGTTCACCAACATCGCATATTTCACCGCTATGACACCGGAGGAGCTCATGTCATCCAATGCCGTCGCTGTTGTAAGTAACCCCTCCCCCCCAGCCCTCGTCTACCCTCCTCCAGTCAGGATCCAGCCACATTGGGCCTCAGTGATCAAGGGTCCGTAGCTAGAACTCTCTGTGCTGCCCTTAACATCCAATCACATTTTCCTTTCAATCTCCATGGCAGCATGGGAGGACATGGGAATGATCAGCTGATTTGTGCCCACGGGGAGATGGGAAGAGTGGGGCGTGCAGGGACGGGGCGTGCAGGACGGGGCGTGCAGGGACGGGGCGTGCAGGGACGGGGCGTGCAGGGACGGGCCAATCTCCGAGGGATTTATGGTGCTGGGTTGTCGGGTTTGTGACATCTGCATATTGTCATAGGGTGACACCACCCCGCAGAGCCTCCAATAATGGGAACTTCCTGGTGTCATTTCTGATTCTGCTTCTGTCCATCCGGAGTATTTGGTGTCACCCAACGTTAGGTGTTCCTGATAAATTAAATCCAACAGGGATAGTGGGAACCCCTCATAATGGGCACAGCAGGTGTACAGACCCGGGAACTCAGCACAGGGATGGTGGGAACCCCTCATAATGGGAACAGCAAGTGTACAGACCCGGCAACTCAGCACAGGGATGGTGGGAACCCCTCATAATGGGCACAGGGGGTGTACAGACCTGGCAACTCAGCACAGGGGTGGGAACCCCTCATAATGAGCACAGCAAGTGTACAGACCTGGGAACTCAGCACAAGGATGGTGGGAACCCCTCATAATGGGCACAACAGGTGTACAGACCCGGGAACCAGCACAGGGATGGTGGGAACTCCCTCATAATGAGCACAGCGGGTGTACAGACCTGGGAACTCAGCACAGCAATGGGGGGAACCCCTCATAATGAGCACAGCGGGTGTACAGACCCGGGAACTCAGCACAGGGAATGGTGGGAACCCCTCATAATGGGCACAGCGGGTGTACAGACCCGGGAACTCAGCACAGGGATGGTGGGAACCCCTCATAATGGGCACAGCAGGAGTACAGACCCGGGACCCCAATGAACTCTAGCATCCAGCAAACTCCCAATAGCAGTTGTGTGTGGGGTGGTCCCATAGACCCAGTAGGTGGGCCCTCCCGGGTAAGCGGGGCCCCGTGTCAGCTGTGTGCATTGTGTCTTTCTGCCGATATCTCAGCCTCTCCTCCTTCTGTTGCTTTAGACGTTTGGTGAAAAGCTTCTGGGCTATTTCTCCTGGATCATGCCAGTATCAGTGGCACTGTCCACATTCGGAGGGATTAACGGATACCTCTTTACCTCATCCAGGTCCGAGGGAGTATGATCTAACCCCGTAGATGTAGCCTCTAACTCCCGACCAATCACTGGACTCTAACCACCATAACTGCTTCTGTTGTTGATTTCAGAGACGCAAATTGCGCTTTTTTTTCACACGCACGTCACAATCAGTCAGGGCGGAGCGTGACCAATCACAGCCTTCATCAGGCAATCCCTCTCCAACCAAAAACCAATCTATACATATGGAGTACAGTGAGGCCCTCAAGGGCCAGGCAATGGTTTTATTGCTGTCTGTGCCTTCCTGTCCTGGTGACTCCCATGCCTTCATTTCATAGGTGGGTGTCACAGGGACAGGAAGTGTATGAAAATCTTCCCAATGGGGTCACGGTGAGAAATAAAGACAGAAATGTGAACTCTTCCTGCTCTATTCAAGACGTTTAGGGCCCATTCACACATGGCAACACATGGGTTAAGGCGTATTTCCACAACGCATGATAATGCCGGACACATTGTAATAGAACCCAACTGATAACAAACCATGAACATTATATGGTGCATCGTCGTGTGCTGCTTTCAGGGCCGGTTCACACTCCATGCGTTTCAGTTCACACTCCATGCGTTTCAGTTCACACTCCATGCGTTTCAGTTCACACTCCATGCGTTTCAGTTCACGCTTTGCATTTCAGTTGTGTTTTGTTTGCATCCAAAACACACAGAAAGTAGGTGATATGGTTGTCAATGGGGCAGCACAGTGGCTAAATGGTTAGCACTTCCGCCTGGCAGTACTAGGATCGTTGGTTCGAACCCCAACCATGGCACCACCTGCCTGGAGTTTGCATGTTCTCCCTGTGCCTGTGTGGGTTTCCTCCTGGTACTCCGGTTTCCTCCCACAGTCCAAAGACATGCTGGGAGGTTAATTAGCTCCTGTCTAAATTGTCCCTAGTATGTGTATGTATGAATGTGAGTTAGGGCCCTTAGATTGTACGCCCCTTGAGGGTTAGGGACTGATGTGAATGTACAATATATATGTAAAGTGCTGTGTAAATTGACAGAGCTATATAAGTACCTGAAATAAATAAATAAATGTCAATCAAAAACGCACCAGAACTCACCAAAAACACACTGGAACGCATGGAGTGTGAACTGTCCTTTAGGGCCGGTTCACACTATAGAAACGCAGTCTAGATGCATTTTGGATGAGTTTCCACATTCACTTTTTTTGACGCATTTGTGATGTGTTTTTGACACGTTGTGGTGCATTTTTTATGCTTTCTGGTTAATTTTTTAACCTCTCTTTTTCTTCCATTTAAATAGAGACATGTGCGTTCCACTGCGTTTTTGGTGCATTTTTGATGCGTTTTATTGTGTTCCAGTACAGTTCTGTGCAAGAAAAATGCAGCATGTTCTACTTTTTTTCTGCATCCAGAATGCACATGTAACCAGGGGCGGACTGACCATTTGGAAACTCAGCACTGCCCGAGGGCCCGGGGTCAGTAGGGGTCCCCATGAGATGCCCCTGGTACCTTTTTCATAGGCGTTTTTTGAGTTTGGGCAAGGACACAGGGGCCCCATGATCCCCTATTGCCCGGGGGCCCCATGAGTTGTCAGTCCGCCCCTGCATGTATCTGTTTCAATTGAAGAAAAATAGAGGGGAAAAATGAACTGGAATGCATAAAAAACTCACCGGAATGCATCAAAACCACACTGGAACACGTCAAAAATGCGCATGTGAAAACGTATCCGAAATGCATCTAGACTGCGATTCTATAGTGTGAACCGGCCCTAAAGGACAGTTCATACTCCATGCGTTTCAGTTGCATTTCTCTGCGTCCAAAACGCACAGAAAGTAGGTGATATGGTTGTCAGTGTCATAGTTCACATCCGTGCTTGCAGTTCCAGTGCGTTCCGGTTGCAGAAAAAAAAGAGCAGGCTGCATTTTTTTCTGCATAGAACTGTACTGAAACACGGTAAAACGCACCGGAGCTCACCAAAGGCACCAAAAACACACTGTTACACACATGTCCCTGTTTCAATTGAAGAAAAATAGAGGGGAAAAAATTAACTGGAATGCATCAAAACCGCTCTGGAACGCATCAAAAATGCGCATGTGAAAACGTATCCGAAATGCATCTAGACTGCGATTCTATAATGTGAACCGGCGCCAAGGGACAGTTCACACTCCATGCATTTCAGTTGCTTTTTTCTGCATCCAAAACACACTGAAAGTAGGTTATATGAACACAGAAAGTAGGTTTTCTGTACAGAACTGTACTGGAACACAGTAAAACACATAAAAAATGGACTGGAACTCACAAAAAACGTACTGACCCTGATTAAAATAAAGAAAAATAGAGTGGGAAAAAATTAACTGAAATGCATAAAAAAAAACTCACCGGAACACATCAAAACTGCACTGGAACGTGTCAAAAATGCGCATGTGAAAACGTATCCAGAATGCATCTAGACTGCGATTCTATAGTGTTCACCGGCCCCTAAGGGCCAGTTCTCACTCCATGCGTTTCAGTTGCCTTTTTCTGCATCCAAAATGCACAGAAAGTAGGTGATATGGTTGTCAGTGTCATAGTTCACATCAGAGCTTGCAGTTCCAGTTGCAGAAAAAAAGTAGAACAGGCTGCATTTTTTCTGCACAGATCTGCACTGGAATGCAGTAAAACGCATCAAAAATGCACCAGAATGCACATGTCCAAAGTTAAACTGAAGAAAAAAGAGGAGGAAAAAATGAACTGGAATGCATCCAAAACACACAGAAAGCAGGTGATATGGTTGTCAGTGTCATAGTTCACATCAGTCCTTGCAGTTTCAGTGCCTTCCAGATGCAGAACAAAAAGTAGAATAGGCTGCATTTTTCCTGCACAGAATTGTACTGGAAAGCAAAAACACGCATAAAAAATGCACCAAAAAAAGCACTGTTACACACATGTCCATATTTAAATTGAAGAAAAAAAGAGGGGAAAAAATTCACCGGAAAGCACAAAAAAAACGCACTGGAACGCGTCAAAAAACACATCAAAAACGTGCAACAAACACGAATGTGGAAACACATCTAGACTGCGTTTCTATAGTGTGAACCAGCCCTTAGGGCCGGTTCACACTCCATGCGTTTCAGTTGCTTTTCTCTGCATCCAAAACGCACAGAAAGTAGGTGATATGGTTGTCAGTGTCATAGTTCACATCAGTGCTGGCAGTTCCAGTGCGTTCCGGGTGCAGGATAAAAAGCAGAACCGGCTGCATTTTTCCTGCACAGAATTGTACTGGAAAACAATAAAACTCATCAAAAATGCACAAAAAACGCAATGGAATGCACATGTCCTTATTTAAATTAAAAAAAAGAGAGGGGAAAAAATTAACCGGAAAGTATAAAAAACGCACCAGAACGTGTCAAAAACACATCAAAAATGTGCCACAAACGCATCAACGCGAATGTGGAAGCACATCCATAATGCATCTAGACTGCGTTTCTATAGTGTGAACCGGCCCCAAGGGCCAGTTCTCACTACATGCGTTTGTTGCTTTTTTCTACATCCAAAACGCACAGAAAGTAGGTGATATGGTTGTTAATGTCATAGTTCACATCAGCGCTGGCAGTTCCAGTGCGTTCCGGGTGCAGAATAAAAAGTAGAACCGGCTGCATTTTTCCTGCACTGGAACGCGGTAAAATGCACAAAAACGCACCGGAACGCACATGTCCAAAATTAAAAACTGCAGAAAAAGAGAGAGAAAAATGAACTGGAATGCATCCAAAACGCACAGAAAGTAGTTGATATGGTTGTCAATGTCATAGTTCACATCAGTGCTTGCAGTTCCAGTGCGTTCCGGGTGCAGAATAAATAGTAGACCAGGCTGCATTTTCCTGCACAGAACTGCACTGGAACGCAATAAAACTCATCAAAAACGCACTGTTACACAATGTCCCTATTTAAATTGAAGAAAAAGAGAGGGGGAAAGAATTAACCAGAAAGCGTTGAAAATGCACTGGAATGCATAAAAAAAAAAAGTGTCAAAAACACATGAAAAACGTGCCACAAACGCGTCAAAAACACATGAAAAACGTGCCAAAAATGCATCAAAAACACAAATGTGTAAACGCATGCAGAACACATCTAGACTGCGTTTCTATGGTGTGAACCGGCCCTAGAAGACAAAGGGTCATGCAAGTTTTTTTCATCCATTGTGGTGCATTGGCAGCCCATTTATAATGAACAGATTCAGAATGAATAGATTTATTATGAATGGGCTGCCAACATTCCACAATGGATGACAAAGGTTGGATTGCCGTCTGCATGAGCTGCAATGTAACTGCTTCCATTTTTTTTTAAATTATTATTATTAGTTTTTTTGTTTATTTTGTTTAGTTTATATACAGCTGCCATTTCCCCATTGAGGAAATTTACCGAGGAAAACTCTCCAAAGCGGACACCACAATATAAATCAGACAGCCTTCTCTATAACAACTGCTTTTGGAAACTCTTCCCTACTTCCAATGTTGTCACTGGAACAGGAAGTAGAGGGAATTGTGTCCAAAGGGGCCACCAAGCAGTGCTATCCCCATGCCACTAAAATACCAAAAAAACATATAGAAAGTGTTGGTCTCTAGTACTGATTGGAGGATAGGGGGACCAGCTCCTGATCATGTGATGACAGTGGTCACATGATTGGCCAGTCCTTCTCACCCCCTGGGTGAGAGTTAATGGGAAAGGAAGGGCTTAAAGGGCATCTCCACACTGTTTTCTGAATTTTTTCTTTTGTTAGCCGGAAGTGAGGGGAAATTTCCCAGACAGCAATAAAAACCTGGCAAAGGTTTTAACCCTTTCCCCACTCCATCAAAGACTGTGCTACCAGAGTACACGCCCACAAGTGCACACCTTAGTGGCGGCAGTGATCAGCCAGGATTTGAGTGAACTCAACAGAAAAGGCTCCCAGGAACGGCCTCATACACACAGGCTGCAGGGAATGCTTCATTTAAAGGGAACCTGTCATAACCTTAGACTGGCCATACACTATACAATTTTCTGCCCAATTTCCTTTAGATTTACCTTCAACTATGTAGTGCAAGGGCCTGCCTGATTGGATACAATTGAAAGTGTTGTTAGTTTTGACCTCCTATTATTTGGTTTTGGGTAAATCTAAAGCAAAAATCTCAAGTAAGTTGTATAATGTATGGCCAGCCTTAAGCCCTGTACACACCATGAGAATATCGGATGAACGATCGCCTGTTTTTATTTTTTTTTTTTTGCCTGCTAGTCTCACATCAAAAGTGAAAAGGTTACTAAAGATACGAAAATTCTCGTACGAAAGAAAAGAATTTCGAAAGTGATGTCATGCGTTGTATTGGATTTGTATTGGATTTTTCGGACAACTACTGTACTGATTAAACAAAAATTGTACAATCTGGTATCGTATGAAAAAAATTCACGCATGTCCCTTCGGATATTGTTGCATGAATTGTCGTGATTGGCTCTCGAAAGCCGTGTACTAAAGATCTGATTATCGGACGATCGGTCCACATATGATGAACATTTTCAGACGATTTTCTTCTAGTGTGTACGGGGCCTAACACCGGAGCTCCAGGCAGATATACAGGACGCAAATGAATTACTCTGTCCAGCCATACACCCCTCCAGGGTCGGACTGACCATTCCAGCACTCGGGCACTGCCCGAGGGCCCAGGGTCAGTAGGGGACCCCTTGAGATGCCCCTAGTACCTTCCTAAGGCTTTCCTGGGTGTGCTTTGAGTGTGAGCAAGGACACAGGGGCCCCATGATCCCCTATTGCCCGGGGGTCCCATGAGTTGGGGCCCCGGGCAACAGGAGATCACGGGCTCCCGGTGTCCTCACCACACTCAAACCATACCCAAAAAAAGCCCAAGAAAGGTACTAGGGGCATCTCATGGGGCCCCCTACTGACCCTGGGCCCTCGGGCAGTGCTGGAATGGTCAGTCCGCCCCTGCGCCCCCCATATACATTTGTGTGCAGGACCCCTAAATGTGTTTCTTGAAATACACGCAGTATCTGAAGACCTGGCATTAACTTCTTGCAGAGCTCAGACTGGGAGAGGGAGAAGCAACACAAGAAGCCAATCAGTTCATGCACTAAGAAGCATGCTGACAGGAGGAGCAAGCAGAGCGACAGAGATGAGCTCCTCATTGTGCTGCTTCTTCTTTCATTGCCCAGTCACAGGTTAGGACAACCTGGGCTCAGAGAAAGTGAGTTTAGTGATTCTGGCTGACTGAGGGCATCTAGTGGCAGGAAAGAGTACTGTGGGGGAAATCTCTGGATGAAGGTGAACATTGCAGCAAAAGCTGATTTTTGCTATTTTATCTTTTAATTGGATATTCATTTTTTTTTCGGTATTTTGTGTTTCTTGGTATTTTTGGTTGGGTTTCTGCTTTAATACTAGCTCACCCAGGTCCCCTATCCGGTGCTGCCGTCAGCTGAACGGCGGTGAATTGTGGGCAGGTAGGTCGCTGTCTGTACACCAATGAATCGATTCCATCCTAAAATTCAGATGGCGTTACATTCAGACCACATTTCATGACTTTGGACACCCTGAAATCCATTCTTTTCAGCCAAATGTATTTGCCATGTGCTACTAATACTTGGCTAAAGCACTGTAGGGGGGCCCCACGGTGTCTCTGGGCCCCATAGCAGTCTCATGGTTTGCTGTGGCTCCAGTGTGAGAGAGGAGTCTGAGCTCAGAGACAAGGATATGACAGGTTCCCTTTAAACTGATGGAGAGCATGACAGATAAAGCCTTTTCAGGGTCACTACACTTAACTACTCTACCCAAAATGAAAAAAAGTTTTCCTTTTCTTTTCAGTGCAGAGTATAGGAGGGTTACAACCAGGGCTGGATTGACAACTCATGGGGCCCCCGGGCAATATGGGATCATGGGGCCCCTGTGTCCTTGCCCAAACTCAACAAAGCATAGGAAAAAGGTACCAGGGGCATCTCATGGGGCCCCCTACTGACCCCAGGCCCAGTTTCCAAATGGTCAGTCCGGCCCTGGTTACAACCACTTTCAGGTTTTTGTGCCCTCTGTGTCCCATTGGGGTGATTTACCTTCACTTCCTGTTCCATAGCCAAACAGGAAGTGAGAGGAAATCCCTCCGAAGTGGTTGTCACCAGAACAAGTGTCCCCGCTGGAACATTTTTTCCCTCTATCCATGTGCTGGTGACAACTCAAACATTGGAATTTTCTTTCACTTTTGGTGATCATGGTAAATAGGACGAGTAGAGGGGTAAATCTCCCTAAATGGCACAGACAGCGGTAAAAACCTAACAGGGGTTCCAATCCCTCTCCACTCCATCCAAAACTGAAAAAGTTTTACTTTTAAAGTGTTACTAAACCAAGGACTCTGCATTCACTATATCTGGTCTCCCCAGACTCTGCATTCACTATATCCGGTCTCCCCGGACCCTGCATTAACTATATCTTCTCTCCCTGGACCCTGCATTCACTATATCCGGTCTCCCCGGACCCTGCATTCACTATATCCGGTCTCCCCGGACCCTGCATTCACTATATTCTCTCTCCCCGGACCCGGCATTCACTATATCCACTCTCCCCGGACCCTGCATTCACTATATCCGCTCTCCCCCGGACCCTGCATTCACTATATCTGCTCTCCCCGGACCCTGCATTCACTATATATCCGGTCTCCCCAGACCCTGTATTCACTATATCCGCTCTCCCAGGACCCTGCATTCACTATATCCGCCTCTCTCCCCGGACCCCGCATTCACTATATCTGGTCTCCCCGGACCCTGCATTCACTAGATCTGGTCTCCCCGGACCCTGCATTCACTAGATCTGGTCTCCCCGGACCCCGCATTCACTATATCTGGTCTCCCCGGACCCTGCATTCACTATATCTGGTCTCCCCAGACCCTGCATTCACTATATCTGGTCTCCCCGGACCCTGCATTCACTATATCTGGTCTCCCCGGACCCCGCATTCACTATATCTGGTCTCCCCAGACCCTGCATTCACTATATCTGGTCTCCCCGGACCCTGCATTCACTATATCTGGTCTCCCCAGACCCTGCATTCACTATATCTGGTCTCCCCGGACCCTGCATTCACTATATCTGGTCTCCCCAGACCCTGCATTCACTATATCTGGTCTCCCACAGTACACACAACATAGAAATGCAATTATTTTAGTAAATATAAACTGCTAAATACCTTTTCTCATTAGCAGTATATAGCAGTCTTGTGACTTCTATCAGTGTCCAGCAGAGCACATGTTACAGCTTGTAGAAGTTTTCATTCTACTTTAGCAAGATGCAGAACCCCTGACCTCTGTCTGGACAGTGCTGATTGGCCCTATGCTGATCACATGCACTCTCCCAAGGGGAAAAAAAAAACTCTCTAGTAATACACACCAAACTGAGTATGAGCAGAGTGACACACCATATATCTTATCAGGAGATAAGAGGGGGACACTGGAAGAAGGGGAGGATCAGAGAAGACAGTATCAAACAGCCTTTTTACACAATGCAGAGGATTAGCCCCTTAGGTCCCACAGTGGGTATAACAAGCATGCTTTACTGCAGATTCAGACTGATTGTACTGTTGTGGGTTTAGTAACACTTTAAGTAGAGCTAAAGACAAAACAACTTTGTTTTCATGTTGGGTAGAGTACGGGAGGGATATAACCCCTGTCAGGTTTTTTTTTGCCATGTGTGTCCCATTGGGGAGATTTCCCTTCACTTCCTGTCCCATAGCCGAACAGTAAGTGAGAGAAAATCCCACCAAACTAGTGTCCATATTGGGCGATTTCCCCTCTATTCCTGTTCTGGTGACAACACAAAATTTGGATTTTTTTTTTTCATTTCATTCTTGATAACAATAACAGGACACAGAGAGAGGGTGAATCTCCCTAAGGGGGGGGCACAATAAAAACCTGACAGGGGTCTAACCCCTCTCCACTCCATCCAAAACTAAAAATCTGTTGCCTTTAGTTATACCTTAAAAATCTCAGACTTATGCTAAGATGAAATTCATTTATTTTGCATAAACGCATGGAGAGGCGACCGGCTTAAACTCCACCACAAAACGCAATCTTGGCGCATGCAAAAACGCCTGTGTGTATACGAGCTTGCCGCAGGGGGTGCGCGGGGACTAAAGATGGGAAATCTAAACTCTCCACCGGAGTCGTGGGGGATATAACAGGCCAATCCATGGCTGAGCTCAATGGCTCCCACCAAATGCTGGAATTCAGTTGTGGGTGGACTGACCTTTGACCTTCGCTGATTTGTGTCTTCCTTCATTCTACAGGTTGTGCTTCTCTGGAGCTCGTGAAGGCCACCTGCCCAGCCTATTGGCCATGATCCATTTTAAATACTGCACCCCGGTGCCGGCTCTGCTGGTGTGTGTAAGTAGCAGACATCAATCGTCATCCATATAGCAGACATCAATTCTTTTCATACGTCATCCATATAGCAGACATCATTCTTCATACGTCATCCATATAGCAGACATCATTCTCATCATATAGCAGACATCAATCGTCATCCATATAGCAGACATCATTCTTCATTCTTCATACGCCATCATCATAGCATCATTCATCATTCACGTCATCCATATAGCAGACATCATTCTTCATACGTCATCCATATAGCAGACATCAATCGTCATCCATATCCTCATCCATATAGCAGACATCATTCTTCATACGTCATCCATATAGCAGACATCATTCTTCATACGTCATCCATATAGATGTCAGACATACATATAGCAGACGTCATTCTTCATACGTCATCCATATAGCAGACGTCATTCTTCATAGTCATCCATATAGCAGACATCATTCTTCATACGTCATCCATATAGCAGACATCATTCTTCATATAGCGACGTCATCCATATAGCAGACATCAATCGTCATCCATATAGCAGACATCAATCATACGTCATCCATATAGCAGACATTCTTCTACGTCATCCATATAGCAGACATCATTCTTCATACGTCATCCATATAGCAGACATCATTCATCCATATAGCAGACATCATTCCATACGTCATCCATATAGCAGACATCATTCTTCATACGTCATCCATATAGCAGACATCATTCTTCATACGTCATCCATATAGCAGACATCATTCGTCATAAGTCATCCATATAGCAGACATCAATTCATACATCCATATATCATCCATTCTTCATACGTCAGAGCAGACATCATTCTTCATACGTCATCCATATAGCAGACATCATTCTTCATCCATAGACGTCATTCTTCATACGTCATCCATATAGCAGACGTCATTCTTCATACGTCAATAGCAGACCTCATATCATCAGATATAGCAGACCTCATTCTTCATACGTCATCCATATAGCAGACATCATTCTTCATACGTCATCCATATAGCAGACATCATTCTTCATACGTCATCCATATAGCAGACATCATTCTTCATATGTCATCCATATAGCAGACATCTCATTCTTCATACGTCATCCATGTATAGCAGACGTCATTCTTCATCATCATAGCAGACCTCATCGTCATCCATATAGCAGACATCATTCTTCATACGTCATATAGCGTCATCCATCCATAGCAGACATCATTCTTCATACGTCATCCATATAGCAGACATCATTCTTCATACGTCATCCATATAGCAGACATTCTTCATACGTCATCCATATAGCAGACCTCATTCTTCATACGTCATCCATATAGCAGACGTCATCTTCATACGTCATCCATATAGCAGACGTCATTCTTCATACGTCATCCATGTAGCAGACCTCATTCTTCATACGTCATCCATGTAGCAGACATCATTCTTCATACGTCATCCATGTAGCAGACATCATTCTTCATACGTCATCCATGTAGCAGACCTCATTCTTCATACGTCATCCATGTAGCAGACCTCATTCTTCATACGTCATCCATGTAGCAGACCTACATCCATGTAGCAGACATCATTCTTCATACGTCATCCATGTAGCAGACCTCATTCTTCATACGTCATCCATGTAGCAGACCTCATTCTTCATACGTCATCCATGTAGCAGACCTCATTCTTCATACGTCATCCATGTAGCATACGTCATCCATACGTAGCATGTAGCACACCTCATTCTTCATAGCAGACATCATCATACGTCACAGACCTCATACGTCCATGTAGCAGACCTCATTCTTCATACGTCATCCATGTAGCAGACATCATTCTTCATACGTCATCCATGTAGCAGACCTCATTCTTCATACGTCATCCATGTAGCAGACCTCATTCTTCATACGTCATCATGACCTCATTCTCATACGTTCCATTAGCAGACCTCATTCTTCATCATCCATGTAGCAGACCTCATTCTTCATACGTCATCCATGTAGCAGATCCATGTAGCAGACCTCATTCTTCATCATCCACGACCTCATTCTTCATGTATCATGTAGCAGACCTCATTCTTCATACGTCATCCATGTAGCAGACCTCATTCTTCATACGTCATCCATGTAGCAGACCTCATTCTTCATACGTCATCCATGTAGCAGACCTCATTCTTCATACGTCACGTCTTCATACGTCATCCATGTAGCAGACATCATTCTTCATACGTCATCCATGTAGCAGACATCATTCTTCATACGTCATCCATGTAGCAGACATCATTCTTCATACGTCATCCATGTAGCAGACATCATTCTTCATACGTCATCCATGTAGCAGACCTCATTCATGTCATCCATGTAGCAGACCTCATTCTTCATACGTCATCCATATAGCAGACCTCATTCTTCATACGTCATCCATATAGCAGACATTCATGAAAATACATGTGTTAGAGTGGCTACAATGTGCCATGTGGAATTGTTTTCATGTACTGCCTCTGCTGGCAAAAGGGATCAAGACAGCACAGACGTCTCAGGAATATTTGGGGTCCAATTTATTCAATTAAAAAAAATATAAAGTTATCATTTAGGCAATCAGTGAAATCTGAAAAATATTTTTTTACTTTATTTAGAGAAGTGGTCTACAAACTGTGCCTCAGGAGCTGGATGTGGCGCCTTACTTTGTATATGGCCCTTGGGGGACTATTTCTCCCACTGACACAAATGACGGGGCACTATTCTTCCCACTGACACCAATGATGGTGAAACCATTCCTCCCACTGACACCAACATTGGGGCACTATTCCTCCCACTGACACCAACATTGGGGCACTATTCCTCCCACTGACAACAACACTGGGGCACTATTCTCCCACTGACACCACTAATCCTCCCACACAACAACACTGATCGTGTGAACCATTCCCCCCACTGACACCAACAATGGGGCACTATTCCTCCCACTGACACCAACAATGGGGCACTATTCCTCCCACTGACACCAGCAATAGAGCACTATTCCTCCCACTGACACCAATGACAGGGCACTATTCCTCCCACTGACACCAGCAATGGAGCACTATTCCTCCCACTGACACCAATGATCAGGCACTATTTCTTCCAGTTACACCCATGATGGGGCACTATTCACTATTCATTGACTTTCATTGACATCAATGATGGGGCACTATTCCCCCCCTGACACCAATGATGGGATGATACTCTTTCCACTTACACCAATGATGGGTCACTAATAATTTCAATAACACTAATGATGGGGCACTATTCGTTCTATTGACACCAATAATGCGGCACTATCAGGGGTGGACTGACAACTCATGGGGCCCCCGGGCAATAGGGGATCATGGGGCCCCTGTGTCCTTTCCCAAACTCAAAAAAGCCTATGAAAAAGGTACCGGGGCATCTCACGGGTTTGAATCCCAACTGCGGCACCAACTGCATGGAGTTTGCATGTTCTCCCTGTGCCTGTGTGGGTTTACTCTGGTTTCCTTCCACACTCTAAAGATATGGATGCTGGTATGGGTAGGTAAATTGGCCCCAATATGTGTATGAATGTGAGTTAGGGACCTTTGATTGCAAGCTCCTTAGGGGCAGGGACTGATGTGAATGTACAACATGTGTGAAGTGCTGGTACCTGTAATAAATAACAGAACAAAAATTGAGATGTTTTATTTTGCAGTGTGGGGCGACAATTATCATCATGCTGGTTGGGGATACGTACACCTTGATAAACTATGTGTCCTTCATTAACTACCTCTGTTACGGAGTAACAATTATGGGGCTGATCGTCCTTCGCTTCAAGAAGCCCAAAATGTTCCGTCCCATAAAGGTAAGCTTTAGGAATTTTTTTATTTTGAGTGATTGATAAAAAACAGCCTCTGGGGTTATTCTGATGGTGGGATCCCAGGCTACCAGCTGGGACTGTTTGGTGCAGGATGAGATGTGTAGGCAGCAGAGAAGGGGTTAATATCAGGGATGAGTTTAGGTGGTTAGATTACTTTTAGGCTTGCTTTGGAGGTAGGGATTGCATAGATGCCAGCTGTCATGTCATGGATATGTCATGGATCTTGGCCCTCTGTCCCGCTATGTCCTGGGCCATGTCCTGGAATTACAGCATCAACCATCAATTCTTTAATGTTTCAGCTGTCAGCAGGATTCCCCGCTGACAGCTGAATGTCAAAAGAATTGCTGGCAATTAAAAAAAACGGCATGGGGTCCCCTCCCTGTTCATACCAAGCCCTTCAGTCTGGTATGGATTTTGGGGGTCCGTTATCAGACCTGTCTTCGGACAGGGAGCTTATAGTTATCTGAGGGGCCCCCAGATCCCGCCCCCCACAATGTGAACATGTATGGGGTACCCATTCACAAAAAAAAAAAGAAAAATGAAAAAAATGCCCCCCCGAAGTAGATCCAACATCAATCATGATGCCCTCCACCGCCGATATGGAAACACCGCCCCCCCCTGCTCTTTACATTGGCTCCCGCTGCACCGGAATGACAGTTGTTAAAATAGTGTGATGACATCACCCCTGCCCAGGGGCGGACTGACAACTCATGGGGCCCCTGGGCAATAGGGGATCATGGGGCCCCTGTGTCCTTGCCCAAACTCAAAAAAGCCTATGAAAAAGGTACCAGGGGCATCTCATGGGGCCCCCTACTGACCCTGGGCCCTCGGGCAGTGCCTGAGTTTCCAAATGGTCAGTCCGCCCCTGCCCCTGCCCCCTTGTGACATCATTATACGCTGTGATTGCCTTGGCCAATCACAATGCACTGTAGGGTGTGGCGGGCGAACAGCCCACCAAACGCCCTTCGAACATGAAGATGATTTGAACATGAAGCCCAACCCTAGTTATAAAGGTGAATAGAGGGGGTGGTTTTTTTGAAGTCCTAGCACTTCCTGTCCTAGGGTGACAACAGTGCCCCAGATACATTAAGACGTGAGAGTGTTGTCACCCTAGGACAGGAAGTGTATTACTGGCAGGATCACCAAGTAAAAATAAAGGAGAAAATATTCATCAATCCATTTGTCTTTTTTGTTTATTATTTCAGGTGAATCTGCTGATTCCAATCACCTACCTGCTGTTCTGGGCCTTCCTGCTAATATTCAGCTTTTACTCCGAGCCCATCGTGTGCGGCGTGGGGCTGATCATCATTCTTACGGGAGTTCCGGTCTTTTTCCTGGGGGTCTACTGGAAGAATAAACCAAAGTGTATAGATAGATTTATTGGTGAGTCCGCACATACTACATGCAATCCACCCAACCCAACGGTGTCACCTCGTCAATGCTTGTAGTTGTATTCACCTTATTGACCGCCCTCCCCCACCACCACTATTTTGTCTCCCACGCCTCTTGACTTCAAATTGCTGAATTTGTTTTTTTTTTCCGCGGAGGTGCGATAAAAGGAAAAACCCATAAGTGAACAAAAAACATGCAAGTGCAAAACAGCAACACAAAAAAGTGCACCTGGGGGTAACACCTCTACCCTGCTCCCCCGGGGCGCGAGGCTCCTGACAGGGACTGAGGTTTTCACATGGTCCACTATCCATGCGGAGCTTTCCTTGTGCCTAGCCGAAGCAGACCACCAAGTACTAGGTCCTGGGGGCTCCTAAAGAGGGACTCCCCAGGAACAGGGGAAGGAAGGAACCAAAAGACCACACCCTACCATCCTTGAGAAAAAACACACATAAATAAATAAAAAGTGGTCCTGGATGGTAGGGTGTAGACTTACCCAAAAGCCTAGCCCTAAAGGCGCAGTGCAGAAAAAGTGTTTGACCATGGGATCACATGTGGGATCCCACTCCTCACTCGGGGCACTGTTCCGTGGACTCTCTACCTCCCCAACCCCTGGCCAGACAAGGTAGATCCATTTGAATCAGGAGGAACTGGACCCCTCCAGTTTTTCCCGGGGGGGAATTACGCCTGTGAGCACCACGTTTTCTGTTCTAGCCGGTACTAGCCTTTAGAGTCCCATCATGCCAGCCAACCACCCTTGCCAAGAGGGAAGAATGATGGCGGACACAGATATCAAGATAATACTACACTTGATCTTAGCCAAAAAGTGAAAATTGGTATCAGTTATTACCTATGGCCAAGACCAGGCACAAGCACACTGACCTTACCCAAGACCATTAGTTGGTTGTGCCCCCACCCCATCATTAAGCCCTACACCTTTTTTTGATGTAAATTAGGGAGAATGTTCTGATGCAATTGCAAAGGACCATGGTTATCCTAATTTGCATAATAAGGGCCTTTTTTCCCCCCTTTTTGTTGTTGCACATTAGGGAGAGAGTTCTGATCCAATTTCAAAGGATCATGGGCCTTAATTTGTATACGCCTTTCCTTCTTGATGTTGCACGTTAGCGTGTTCTGATCCAATTGCAAAGGACTTTGGTCAACCCTAATTTGCATACTGTTTTTTTCCCCATATGCAAATGGTTTTCCTGGAGTGTTCTGATCCAATTGCAAATATTGAAAAAATTTATTCCCCATTTCCCACCCAGAAAACCACTACTTTCTCCCAGATGCCCGCTTGGTTTTTTTTTTTTTTTTCTCCGCAAACGTGGAACTGTAACGAAAAAACCCGTAAGTGTCCGCAAAAAAGTGCAAGTGCAGAAACACACACACGAAAAACGTGCACTTAGGGGTGTGTTTGTCCTACCCCCGAAAGGGTTGGACCGTTCACCCGATCCCCCGGGGCACGAAGCTCCTGACAGGGACAAGGTTCCCATTTGGTCCTCCTGGCCAAAAGGCCTGGTGGACCACCGTTCCTTATGCCCAGCCGAAGCCGGACATCCAGTACTAGGCAAGGGGGTTCTCCCGAAGAGAAAACCCCCTAGGGATCAGGGGAGGAAGGAACCGTATGGCCACACATCCTCCCCCTAGACTTCAGGTAAGGCCCGAGGACCCACACCCTCCATCCGTGAAAAACACACACATAAGAAAGCAAAAAGTGACAAAACGTGGGAGTGGTTTAAAATAAATAGAATAAAATAAAAAAGTGGTACCGTGCCTAATAGTGCACAGACCAGGCCCTGAGGCCTGTAGCAAAAATTGCCCTGGACTTAGCCAAAAGACCTGGTCCTTAGGGCGCTGTGCAAAAAGAAGTGAAAACAGTGGCCATGTGTCATCTTCACACCGTGGGGACCCACACCCAAGTGTTACTAGTGACACCCCTGAGAGCGTCTTCCCCAGGAGGCACTGAGTTTGCGGACTTTTTGCGTCCCCGACCCCAGGCCAGACCAAGGTAGCCTGCTCAAACCAGGAGGAACTGGGTCTTTCCGGTCTCCCCAGAGGAATTACTCCCAAGGCCCCAGAACGAATCATGGCGCTCCCTGGTTTCTGTCCCTCCGGTACTAGCCTTCCGGACCCCCATCATACCAGTGAGGGTACTGTACAACACCATCCCCGTAAACTAGAATGGTCGGTAGCACCCCCACTGGACACTGATAAGAACAGATACTACACTTGATCTTAGCCAAAAGGCCGAGAAGCAGATGCCCGCTTGGTTTGTTGGATCAGACACACACTGATCCTACAGATCACCCACCATCCCCCTCCTTACATCAATAATGATGATTTTGAGCATACTATCTTAACTTAGGGAGAGCATTTTATCTAATTAGCATATTTTTTCTCTCTCCCTCTACTCCCCCCCTTTCCCAGGAGAGCCCACAAGGAAAGGGGTCCGATAGGTCTTTGGCTAGGTGGACCATATGGAAACCTCAGTCCCTGTCAGGAGCTTCCCCTAGACTTCGGGGTAGGCTCGAGGACCCTCACCCTCCATCCTGTGAGAAAGAAAACACACACAAAAGTGAAAAGTGACAAACGTGGGAGGTAAAATAAATTAAATAAATAAGTGGCCGTACAATTGTGCACAGACCAGGCCCTGAGGCCCGTAGCAAAAATTGCCCTGGACTTAGCCAAAAGGCCTAACCCTAAAAGGCGCAGTGCAGGAAAAAGTGTTGGAATCGGTGACCATGTGCACGTTTCACACATTGGGGTCCCACACCCAAGTGTTACTAAGAGCACCCCTGAGGCGACCACTCTCAGGGGGCACTAGTTTGCGGACTTTCTGCCTCCCCGGCCTCTGGCCAGACAAGGTAGATCCATTAAAACCAGGAGGAACTGGGCCCCTCTGGTTTTTCAGGGGGAATTACTCCCGGGCCCCAGCAGCCTGTGGGCCCTCAGTTCCTGTTCCAGCCTGTACTAACCATCAGGACCCCCATCCTACCAGCAGGGGTACTATACAACCAATCATCCCCGCAAGCAGGAATGATGGTGGACACCCCTACTGGACACTGATAAGAACAGATTTTTTTTTTAACTCCGCAAACGTGCAACTATAACGAAAAAACCCGTAAGTGTTCACAAAAAATGTGCAAGTGCAAAACACCACACGAAAAAGTGCACTTAGGGGTGTGTTTTTCCTACCCCCGAAAGGGTTGGACCGTTCACCCGATCCTCCCGGGGCACGAAGCCAGGGACAAGGTTCCCATTTGGTCCTCCTGGCCAAAAGGCCTGGTGGACCACCGTTCCTTTGCCCAGCCGAAGCCGGACATCCCAGTACAGGCCATTCAAGGGGGTTCTCCCGAAGAGAAAACCCCCTAGGGATCAGGGGAGGAAGGAACCGTAGGGCCACACATCCTCCCCCTAGACTTCAGGTAAGGCCCGAGGACCCACACCCTCCATCCGTGAAAAACACACACATAAGAACAGAAAAAGTGACAAGACGTGGGAGTGGTTAGAAAATAAAAAAGTGGTACCCCAAATAGTGCACAGACAGGCTGATAAGAACAGATACTACACTTGATCGTAGCCAAAAGGCCGAGGGGCGGAGTCTAGTTACAAAAATAGATCATGCCTCTACTAACATGGCCACTTCCAGTGCTGCAAAATGAACAACAAAGTGAGCCTAGGGCAAAGAGAGGCCACATCATGGCTGTTGTCAGCTAAATCATTCACAGTGGGATTGCCTGGCACTGAATACAGGATGCGTTCGCTCCAAGTCTTCACTCGCTTTCATTTTTTTCAGCTGTAATGAATCCAGTTCTCCTTTTCCATTTCAGAAAATATCACCTACTGTGGACAGAAGGTTTGCTACGTCGTGTACCCTCAGCCCACCCTCCCCGAGGACGACTTAATCGCTTGCAATGACGCCGTAGTGAACGAGAAGGAGAAGACCCTCAAAATGCAATAAGCTGCTCCCCTCCTCCCCCCCGCACCCGGGACCTGCATTTTGTTTACAGGCGTGTTTGCGGAGAGAAAATGTACTTGAACACCCAGCAACATAGAGAAAATATCGCAGGAAAAAGGAAATGCGACTGCAGGGGACAAGGCATGGAATGGCGAACTCTTTTGATTGGATGGGAGGACTACAAGCGGGGAGCCTTTTTGTTATAATTTGATCATTAACCCCTTCTGTGCCCGGGGTAACCTCCACCGTGACCCTGGGAACGCTGCGCCGCTTCAGTGGACAGAACTACGATGTATTCTAACTTAAAGCATTTTTGGCTTTCCTGTTGTATAAATCGAAGTGGCCTTTTTTTTCTCTATTAAAGCCTCATTTTCAACCACCTGAGATGTACTGCGTGTAAGGCTGTCAGGGGGACGCCGATAGGAGGCGGGGCATGATAGGATAAAGCATGCCTTGATTGTCAGTGTTTCCTTACATTGGTGGTGAGTGTTGCCCAATGACATTGGTGGTCATTGGGGAGCCCCAGCAACATTCATTCTTACATTGGCGGTGAGTGCTGCTTATCGTATTAGTAAAAGTATCAATGTCCACGCCATCAACGCGTCTCCAAACTGCCACCTGTCCCCCCAGTGGCACCAATATGTCCCCCAATTCCACCCTGTCCCCCCAGTGTCGCCAATATGTCTCTCTCACACTCAAACACTCTCTCGTAGCCTTCCTAGCGGTCTGATTATGTCCATATTTCTGTGCTCAAAGCGGTACATTTTTTTGCATGGAAATATTTCTTATTGTAGGCTGTAATTTTTAGGAACAACTCACTGAAATCTGTCCGAACAAGAGTCTAGTAAACATTCCGGGTATGATAAAATTTCAAACACGAAATCATAAATTAATAAATAATCCTAAAAAATAATAATATAATAAATTTTAATTCATTAATGTAATCCAACCAAAAATGAAATTTGAAATATAGCGCCATGTTTGCACATCGCTAAACAAAGTCGCAGAATCGTTTTCAGTGTCTGATGACGAATTTCCCCCACGAATCATTATCACTCAATTCTGCAAGTGGTTCTGATTTACTATCGCTGTTCTCTGGCCGGTCTAAAACCGCTTTTGACCTAAAGGGACGCTTTTTGGACGCCATGGACGTTTCTCAGTTTCCAGGTAGAAAGAACAGTAAAAATGCAGGCAGGGCGCCGGACAAAGCACTCGGGACAAAATGTATGTGAAATGGTTTGATACAGGAATGGAATACTATCAGATTTTAGTGTATTTAGTGAATGTCACTTTTTGGCATTTTTAAATTTCCCACCAGTTCCGTCCCTCGTACATTCTGACGTCGCAGGGAATGGAATCCGGAAAACAGATGCCGGCATCGGCCGGAGGAGATGGCCGGGGGACGCTGTAGGGGGGACATCGCGGGAGCGCAGGACAAGGTAAGTGCAGAAGGGATCCCGGAGCAACGCTGAAAGGTATTCCTGAGTGTAGCTCGGGGTTATCCAGGGGCGGACTGACCATTCGAGCTCTTGGGCACTGCCCAAGGGCCCGGGGTCAGTAGGGGGCCCCATGAGATGTTCCTGGTACCTTCCATAGGCTTTTTTTGAGTGTGGGCGAGGACAAGGGCCCCATGATCCCCTATTGCCCGGAGGCCCCATGAGTTGTCAGTCCGCCCCTGTGGTTACCGCTTGTGGTGCTGAAACTTTACCCCAAGCTGCACTCGGGAATACCGCCAGGGAGGTTAATCACTACAATATTTCTTACATCCCACAGACATTCCTTCACACAACTCACCAACATCCACAACACTCTTGCTTCCTTCTTTCCCAACTTCCACAGACCATACAACACCATCTCATACCTCAACGTCCTCACCCCAGACAAACCTTCAACCATCCTTTCTAAGCTTTTCCATACATCCTCCGCAAAACCACACTCCCAAAACACATGAAATTCACTTTCCAAACCCACACAACCCTCTCTTGGACATTTCTCTGTATCAGCCATACCTCTCCTTTGTTGAAACACCCTTACTGGCAAACAATCATGCACACCCATCCACACAATATCTTTCTGTCCATTTTCCAGTTCTTTCATACACACATTCTTCCATGCTCTCTCACTCTCTACAACAGTCAGGCCACCAATCCATTCCATTTCTTCTCTTCCATCCAATACCTTGATCACTTTCTTACATTCATACCACAATTCTTTCTCCACATCATTCAGCCCAAACTTCTCTACACCTCTTTCTATCCGTACATAAAACCATGGGGTTTTAATACTCATAGGTTTTCTCACCTGTTAGCCTGGCACCTGTCACCCCAACCATAGCACTTTTCTCCTCCCCAATATCTGGGGCCAGCTTACAGAAGCCCATTACTGACTGTAGATCTTCTACCTGGCCAGTGCTCACAAATGATTCTGTAGATCTTATAGAGGAGTCAGACGTAGGATCTTGCCCAGGGCTTAGAAACTCCTCAATGTTTTGGGAGGCTAGAATTGCCTCCAGGCCCTCCAACTTCTGCTTTAAGGTGTCCCTAGATAGGTCCATCCCTTCCACCTCCAAGGTCACCCTACCACCCTCCACTGCTAGATGCTCTGGTTCAGAGGCCTCAACTGTCAGGGCTTGAGTTTCCACTGCAGCTTCATCAGGCTTGGGTTTTGGTCCTGTCTGCTCAGGGACCTCCCCTCTTGCTGGGTCATTGGCCTCCTTCACACCGTTCACTGGGGTTACCCCCCTGGTCACCTCTGCATATGAGGGTGCCCTTCCTCCACCAACCCCAGCTATGCTGCCGGTACTGGGACCTCCCTAGGTTGACCTACCCTGGAGCTCAACCGTGGACACTGCCGGGCTAGATGTGTCTCCCTGCTACAATAGTGGCACTTCCTGCCTTCAGGGCATTCGGCAGTCCTGTGCCAGGCCAGAAACAGTTCCTGTGTACAGGCCCAACTTTTTTTTTTTTTAAGTCCGCAAACATACGAAAAACCCGTAAGTGTTCACAAAAAAAGTGCAAGTGCAAAACACCACACAAAAAAGTGCACTTAGGGGTGTGCTTTGTCCTTCCCTCGAAGGGGATGGACCACTACCCTGATCCCCCGGGGCACAAAGCTCCTGACAGGGACAAGGTTCCCATTTGGTCCACATAGCCAAAAGGCCTGGTGGACCACCGTTCCTTGTGTCCAGCCGAAGCCGGACACCCAGTACTTGGTCAGGGGGCTCTCCTGAAGAGAAAACCCCCTAGGGATCAGGGGAGGAAGGAACCAAAAGGCCACACATCCTCCCCCTAGACTTCAGGGCAGGTCCGAGGACCCACACCCTACATCCTGTGAGAAAAACACACACATAAGTAAGAAAAAGTGACAAAACGTAGGAGGTGTAATAAATAAATAGAAAATAAAAAAAAAATGGTCGTGCCAAATAGTGCACAGACCTGTAGCAAAAATTGCCCTGAACTTAGCCAGAAGGCCTGGTCCTGAGGGCGCTGTGCAGATAAAGTTGAAAAGACAGTGACCATGTGCCATCTTCACACAGTGGGGTCCCACACCCAGGTGTTACTAGTGGCACCCCTGAGGCAACTACTCAGGGGGCACTGGTTTGCAGACTTTCTGCCTTCCCGACCCCTGGCCAGACAAGGTAGATCCGCCCAAATCAGGAGGTACTGGGTCCTTCCGGTCTCCTCGGGAGAATTACTCACGGGCCCCAGCTACTCGTGGGCACTACGCTTTCTGTCCCCCCGGTACTAGCTGTCCAGACCCCCATCATACCAGTGAAGGTACTATACAACAGTCATCCCCACAAAGCTAGAATGACCATGGAGCGCCCCTACTGGACACTGATAAGAATAGATACTACACTTGATCTTAGCCAAAAGGCCGAGAAGCGATAACTCAGTTTTTTTTATAAAAGCCCTGAGGTACCTTCTGTTTCCCTTAAAGTGGTTGTAAACCCTTGCATATACCTTAAGAAGTGACTGGCTTCAGGTGACACACAGAGATTAAACAAATCCTCCTACATAAGTTGTACCTGTTTATCTGCCTAGGATCTCTCAGCTCTGAAGAACGGGGTGGGGAGCTGAAGTTACATCAGTGGAGGGAGCTCTGAGAGCTGCTTCAAGCTACAACAGCAGTTTTTCCACATTTGCCCTTAGCTATGCCAATAAATAGATCTTAGTGGCAGGAGAGATCAGATTATAGGGACTGCTGAATGCGTTGAAGAAAGGGACACGCCCCCTCCCTCTCCCCTAGCACAGATTGGTTCACACAGAGGCTGCCAGGATTTATTCCTACAAAACCCAGAATGCTTTGCAAACTGAGTGTCATGGAGCCACCCAGTATTATTTGTGAAGTAAAGAAATTGTAAAATTATTTGTAAAAAGTCCAAATATAATTTATACATTTTCAATGGTCATGTCTTGACAGATTGACCAAAAACAATCTTTTTTTTTTTTTTGTATCTATAAAGGATAGAATTCGGTTAGGTAGAAGGGCACCTCTGTGTTTAATTAGCTGCCAACCTAACCTAGAGAGGAGCCAATCAGTGCAATCATACAAAGATTCTACACATAGCTGGAGGATTGACAGGTACCTGAAGAATTCAAAACTGCGGGATCTGCCAGACAGATCAGGGTGATGGATGAAATCTTGGTAGATTAATCTCTTGCAGTCTTTTATTTCACCATTAGATGGCACTGTAGTACCATTTCACATATTTGGCTGTTTCCACTGGCAGTAGTGTAGATAGGAGGCTTTTGTTTATGGAACTCTATGGATTCATCACCGCTATGACTCCTCCCATATCAGGCGGAGGTTTCAATCAAACAGAGGGAGCTGAACACGGGGGAACGCAGTTCCGGCACCTCCAGCACTGAATGTATGTAATGGCAAGGGGTGCTGGGGTGTGCTGGAAGGTCTATTCATGCTGGTTTCCGGGGATCTATTGTTACTGGAGAGGATCTGTTTTTGCATGGTGGTCTCTTGTTGCTAGGGAGGTCTACTGTTGCTGAAAGGGATCTACAGGTGAGGGAGGTGATCTATTGCTGTGGGCTTCTGGAGAGTCTATTGTTGCTGGGGTGGTATTTTGTTGCCAGGGTCCATTGTTGCTGTGGGATCTATTGTTGGTGGAGGGGGAGAAGATCTATTTTACTGCTTCTCTTGTTTTCATTAACACCTTCCATCAAAATGACTTTGCACCAGAAAAGGATAATTGGCTCTATATTCTCTAAAAGCATCTGCACGGGGGGGGTCAAATCAAGGCTTGCCAAAGCATACTAAAAGTACTAGGTGAGGGGGCTCTCCGGGTGAGGGAGAGAGAGCAAATATGCTAATTAGATACAATGCTCTCCCTAAGTTAAAATAGTATGCTCCAAAATCATGATTTTTGATGGATAGAAGGGGGGGGGGGGGAATTAGTTGGATCTGTGCGTGGCCAATTCCAACAAACCAAGCGGGCATCTGAGAAAAAGTAGGGGGTTTTCTGCGTGAGATAAATTTGCATTAACATTTGCATATTTTTTTAAATAATTCTGTTTCTTGAGGGCCAAGGAAAGGAAGTATGCAAAGAGTTACCATGATGCTTTGCAGTTGGATCAGAACACTCTCCCTAAAGTGCAATAACAAAAGGAGTATGGCATTGGGGGGGAAGGAAAAGGTCTTTTGGTTAAGGTAATGCATACTTCCTTTTGTCTCTCTGGAGATCTCTTGGATGGGACAATTGGGACACTCCTTGGTATTATCTGGATACCTTTAAGTTTATCAAGAAGCAGAGGCTACAGGGAGTGAAGCCTGACTTGTGGAAACCAAAGACCATCTACAAGATCATCAGAGCAAGTGACATGTTGGAGTCAGTTATCGCTTCCTTTTGGCTATGATCGAGTGTAGTATCTGTTCTATCAGTGTCCAGTAGGGATGCTCCACGGTCATTCTAGCTTTGTGGGGATGACTGGTTGTATAGTACCCCTGCTGGTATGATGGGGGTCTGGATGGCTATTACGGGGGGGAACAGAACCCGGGATGCCCACACATAGCTGGGGCCTGGTAGTAATTCCCCTTTGGAACGTCTGAAGGACCCAGTTCCTCCTGATTTGGACGGATCTACCTTGTCTGGCCAGGGGTCGGGAAGGCAGAGAGTCCGCAAACACAGTGCCCCCTGAGTAGTCGCCTCAGGGGTGCCACTAGTAGCACCTGGGTGTGGGACCTCACAGTGTGAAGATGGCACATGGTCACTTGTTCACAAACGTTTTCTGCACAGCGCCCTTAGGACCAGGCCTTTTGGCTAGGACCAGGACAATTTTTGCTACAGGCCTCAGGGCCTGGTCTGTGCACTATTTGGCACGGCCACTTTTTTATTTTCTATTTATTTAATTTATTATCACTCCCACGTTTTGTCACTTTTTCTTACTTATGTGTGTGTTTTCACAGGATGAAGGGTTGTGGGTCCTCGGGCCTGCCCTGAAGTCTAGGGGGAGGATGTGTGGCCTTTTGGTTCCTTCCTCCCCTGATCCCTAGGGGGTTTTCTCTTCAGGAGAGCCCCCTGACCAAGTACTGGGGTGTCCGGCTTCGGCTGGACATAAGGAACGGTGGTCCACCAGGCCTTTTGGCCAGGAGGACCAAATGGGAACCTTGTCCCTGTCAGGAGCTTCGTGCCCCAGGAGATCAGTGTAGTGGTCCAGCCCCTTTAGGGGTAGGACAAAAGCACACCCCTAAGTGCACTTTTTTCGTGGGGTGTTTTGCACTTGCACTTTTTTTGTGAACACGTACGGGTCTTTTCGTTATAGTTGCACGTTTGCGGACTTAAAAAAAAAAAAAAAAAATCTGTTCTTATCAGTGTCCAGTAGGGATGCTCCACGGCCATTCTAGCTTTGCGGGGATGACTGTTTGTATAGTACCCCTGCTGGTATGATGGGGGTCTGGATGGCTATTACGGGGGGGAACAGAACCCGGGACGCCCACACGTAGCTGGGACCTGGGAGTAATTCCCCTGAGGAGACCCGGAAGGGACCAGTACCTCCTGATTTGGACGGATCTACCTTGTCTGGCCAGGGGTCGGGAAGGCAGAGAGTCCGCAAACCAGTGCCCCCTGAGTAGTCGCCCCAGGGGTGCCACTAGTAACACCTGGGTGTGGGGCCCCACTGTGTGAAAATGGCACATGGTCACTTGTTTACAAACTTTTTCTGCACAGTGCCCTCAGGACCAGGCCTTATGGCTAGGACCAGGGCAATTTTTGCTACAGGCCTCAGGGCCTGGTCTGTGCACTATTTGGCACGACCACTTTTTTATTTTTTATTTATTTAATTTATTACACCTCCCACGTTTTGTCACTTTTTCTTTACTTATGTGTGTGTTTTCTTCACAGGATGGAGGGTGTGGGTCCTCGGGCCTGCCCTAAAGTCTAGGGGGAGGATGTGTTGCCTTTTGGTTCCTTCCTCCCCTGTCCCTAGGGGGTTTTTTCTCTCCGGGAGAGCCCCCTGACCAAGTACTGAGTGGCTGGCTTCAGCTGGACACAAGGAACGGTGGTCCACCAGGCCTTTTGGCCAGGAGGACCAAATGGGAACCTTGTCCCTGTCAGGCTACTATGTCACCCCAGTGCAACCAATATATTCCCCCAGCGCCATCAATATGTCGTCGTCGTCCCCCCCCCCCCCCCCCGTTGCTTTGAAAGCAAGCCTGCAATACCTAGAGTACAAAAATGGAGGCCCCCATGTGCATGTTTTTTTTTTTTTCAAACATTAACTCACCTTGGCACGATTTGTAACACTGACCAAACAGAGCATATCTAAAAAATTTTAAAAAGCAGGATGGAGCTTCTTTTTAAATAGGTGACGTAGCCCTGGTTCACACTGCTGCGACTTGTCACGCAACTTGTGACATATAAAGTTGCATGACAAGTCAAAACACGTTTCCGCTGTAATCCAATCAATGCAACTCAAGTGGCAGCACATTCAGAAGAGTTTCCTGCACTACTTTGATGCGACTTTAATATCACGCTGCAAATTTTGCACTGGCAAATCGCATGACAAAGGGGGTCGCAGGACTGTGAACCAAGCCTTAAGGTGCAGTTTTTCCACAGCAAGGCCCCTGAGACCACGGCTATTCCAACCAAGAAGGACAACAAGAATGAGGTAGGACAAAAATAATTTATTCTCTTAAAACTGGGCTACTTCATTGTAAAAATGTACAGATCGCACAGATCGCTCACACACAGCTGACGGGTCTTGCACTTTTATGGAGGACGGGGCTGAGAACTGTCGTCTGATATACATAGGAACAAAGATCCTGACTGAGGACGGCTCAAATCAACCGCACTGACCAATATAGGCCCCACGCACCCGGGGTGTCCAGCTGCAGTGCGTCCCTCCTGCGATTTTACAGACCAGAAATGTGCGATTATTGCACGTTTTTGCAGTGACATGCATTTGACGCACATCTTTGTGTGCATTTTTCCTAAGCTTGCATTCCCCCTGAGGTCACTTTCATCTTCTTTTTTTGCCTTTTATGTGCACTGCACTGCATTTTCCTGCAGAAAAATGCAGCTTGCTGGACTAGTCTTCACTGCACTGCACTAGTGTGGACTGCAGCCACTGCATAACCTGGACTTTGGAATGTCAGTTAAAAATGCATTCCACTGATGTGAAGGGTCCCCTTAGGACTAGTCCACACCAGATGCAGCCCAATGCATTTTTATTCAGCATCAAGAATGCCTGGACAGCGTTCAACATGGGTTCTAATGGTCCTAGTTCACAGCAGTGCAGCCAACAAAAGTAGAACATGTTGCATTTTTTTTGTATAGTATGCATCTGGAAGACGGCAAAACTCAAAAATGCTCCAGAATGCACACGTCTTCAATAGAGAAGAAAAGAGAAAAGAGGGGAAAAAATGCACTGGAACGCATCAAAAATGCATTAAAAACCTGCGTGCAGAAATTGTGGCGCGGACCAATCCTCAATGTGCCTGGGAGGGACAGGAGCAGCGTCCAGCCCTTCTGCAGGCAGCTTGTCGCAGTCTATAGCAGGCTGTGTCTGGGCTGAACGCATTAGTGGTACCGATGTTTAGGGCCCTGTCCCTTCAGGTCCAGAATGTAGGACTTCTGTGTTCTGCACCTTCCACCCCCAGAATCCAGAACATCGATGCCACTTCATAAAGCATTCAGCTGCAGCTTGCTATAGACTTTGATAGGCGGCCTGCAGTGCGACCTATCCCTCCCAGATGCACTAAAAGGGTGCACAGACCTGCGTGTAAGGGGCACAGACCTGCGTGTACGGAGCACAGACCTGCGTGTAAGGAGCACAGACCTGCGTGTACGGAGCACAGACCTGCGTGTAAGGAGCACAGCCCTGCGTGTAAGGAGCACAGACCAGCATGTAAGGGGCACAGACCTGCGTGTAAGGAGCACAGACCTGCGTGTACGGAGCACAGACCTGCGTGTAAGGAGCACAGCCCTGCGTGTAAGGAGCACAGACCAGCGTGTGTAAGGGGCACAGACCTGCGTGTAAGGGGCACAGCCCTGCGTGTAAGGGGCACAGACCTGCGTGTAAGGAGCACAGCCCTGCGTGTAAGGAGCACAGACCAGCGTGTAAGGAGCACAGACCTGCGTGTAAGGGGCACAGCCCTGCGTGTAAGGGGCACAGACCTGCGTGTAAGGGTGCACAGCCCTGCGTGTAAGGAGCACAGCCTTGCGTGTAAGGAGCACAGCCCTGCGTGTAAGTACAGCCTTGTGTGTAAGGAGCACAGACCTGCGTGTAAGGGGGACAGACCTGCGTGTAAGGAGCACAGACCTGCGTGTAAGGGGCACAGACCTGCGTGTAAGGGGCACAGACCTGCGTGTAAGGGGCACAGCCCTGCGTGTAAAGAGCACAGACCTGCGTGTAAGGGTGCACAGCCCTGCGTGTAAGGAGCACAGCCTTGCGTGTAAGGAGCACAGCCCTGCATGTAAGTACAGCCTTGTGTGTAAGGAGCACAGACCTGCGTGTAAGGGGGACAGACCTGCGTGTAAGGAGCACAGACCTGCGTGTAAGGGGCACAGACCTGCGTGTAAGGGGCACAGCCCTGCGTGTAAGTGGCACAGCCCTGCGTGTAAAGGGCACAGACCTGCGTGTAAGGGGCACAGACCTGCGTGTAAGGGGCAAAGACCTGCGTGTAAGGGGCACAGCCCTGCGTGTAAAGAGCACAGACCTGCGTGTAAGGGGCACAGACCTGCGTGTAAGGAGCACAGACCTGCGTGTAAGGGGCACAGACCTGCGTGTAAGGAGCACAGACCTGCGTGTAAGGGACACAGACCTGCGTGTAAGGAGCACAGACCTGCGTGTAAGGGACACAGACCTGCGTGTAAGGAGCACAGACCTGCATGTAAGTACAGCCTTGTGTGTAAGGAGCACAGACCTGCATGTAAGGGGCACAGACCTGCGTGTAAGGAGCACAGACCTACGTGTAAGGAGCACAGCCCTGCATGTAAGGAGCACAGACCTGTGTGTAAGGGGCACAGCCCTGCGTGTAAGGGGCACAGCCCTGCGTGTAAGGGGCACAGACCTGCGTGTAAGGAGCACAGACCTGCGTGTAAGGGACACAGACCTGCGTGTAAGGAGCACAGACCTGCGTGTAAGGGACACAGACCTGCGTGTAAGGAGCACAGACCTGCATGTAAGTACAGCCTTGTGTGTAAGGAGCACAGACCTGCATGTAAGGGGCACAGACCTGCGTGTAAGGAGCACAGACCTACGTGTAAGGAGCACAGCCTGCGTGTAAGGAGCACAGACCTGCGTGTAAGGGGCACAGCCCTGCGTGTAAGGGGCACAGACCTGCGTGTAAGGAGCACAGACCTGCGTGTAAGGAGCACAGACATGCGTGTAAGGAGCACAGACATGCGTGTAAGGGGCACAGACCTGCGTGTAAGGAGCACAGACCTGCGTGTAAGGGGCACAGACCTGCGTGTAAGGGGCACAGACCTGCGTGTAAGGGGCACAGCCCTGCGTGTAAGTGGCACAGCCCTGCGTGTAAAGGGCACAGACCTGCGTGTAAGGGGCACAGACCTGCGTGTAAGGGGCAAAGACCTGCGTGTAAGGGGCACAGCCCTGCGTGTAAAGAGCACAGACCTGCGTGTAAGGGGCACAGACCTGCGTGTAAGGAGCACAGACCTGCGTGTAAGGGGCACAGACCTGCGTGTAAGGAGCACAGACCTGCGTGTAAGGGACACAGACCTGCGTGTAAGGAGCACAGACCTGCGTGTAAGGGACACAGACCTGCGTGTAAGGAGCACAGACCTGCATGTAAGTACAGCCTTGTGTGTAAGGAGCACAGACCTGCATGTAAGGGGCACAGACCTGCGTGTAAGGAGCACAGACCTACGTGTAAGGAGCACAGCCCTGCATGTAAGGAGCACAGACCTGTGTGTAAGGGGCACAGCCCTGCGTGTAAGGGACACAGCCCTGCGTGTAAGGGGCACAGACCTGCGTGTAAGGAGCACAGACCTGCGTGTAAGGGACACAGACCTGCGTGTAAGGAGCACAGACCTGCGTGTAAGGGACACAGACCTGCGTGTAAGGAGCACAGACCTGCATGTAAGTACAGCCTTGTGTGTAAGGAGCACAGACCTGCATGTAAGGGGCACAGACCTGCGTGTAAGGAGCACAGACCTACGTGTAAGGAGCACAGCCCTGCATGTAAGGAGCACAGACCTGCGTGTAAGGGGCACAGCCCTGCGTGTAAGGGGCACAGACCTGCGTGTAAGGAGCACAGACCTGCGTGTAAGGAGCACAGACATGCGTGTAAGGAGCACAGACATGCGTGTAAGGGAGCACAGACATGCGTGCGTGTAAGGGGCACAGACCTGCGTGTAAGGGGCACAGACCTGCGTGTAAGGAGCACAGACCTGCGTGTAAGGAGCACAGACCTGCGTGTAAGGAGCACACAGACCTGCGTGTAAGGGGCCCTATGCTGTGACTCCACCCTTTTTGAAAAAAAAAAAAAACTGCAATTGTAGGCCAGGGTGGTGAAATGTTACATCGTGTGAACAATACTCCTCAAGGCTTGCTTTGCTTCTCTGTGTAGTTTCTTGAACTGTCTGATGCAGTAAATGTACAACTGTTGTCTTTTGCTCCGCTCAGTGTGAATTCTCCATTGTAGAAGGAAACATTAGTAGAGCAGAGGAGGCTAGAACCCCTGTTGGACTTTTATTTCCGGGCACTTGATAATAGGAGATTTGGCTCATCTTATGCAGTATCCAGTGTTGTAAAAGGCCGTCTCATTGATCAAGCTGACTCCCAAGAGGAGGACCTGTACTTCATGTGAGAAGCACAAACATGTAAAAAGCAGTAAGGGCGTGGCCTAAACAGTCATAGAGTCCAGGACGTTCTATTCAATAATCAGTAGGGAGCCGACTCGCTTCATGGCGCACACACTCCTTCATCAGGGCTTATGTATGATGTAACCTCAAAAATGGCTGGACTTCGGATTGTGATGAAAGTTGTATGAATGCGTCTAGAAGCGCGGCACAAACTGCTGGCTGTGCGATCTGGTTTTTTATATACTATTATTACAATACAATGGGGTCCAGCCATTTTTGAGGTTACATCTTACATAGGCCCTGATGAAGGAGTGTGTGAACCCCCGAAACACATTGACGCTCTTTTAGCCCACCGTCTAATAAAAAAAAAAAAAAAAAAAGGGACTCTTTGACTATTGAAGTGGCACCCTTACTTCTTTTATCCTCTTTAGCTATTATCTCAGTGTGTGTCTTTGTTGCAGATTTTCCTTCACTTCTTGTATGGTGAAGCTGTGGTCAGGACAGGCAGTTTGACAGGTGATAAGGAGGCCATATCTCACCTCCTCGCCACCTATGGTAACCCTGCAGCGCTCACAGCACCGTGCCGCAACCATGTGCAGGGTAGTTGCAGCCAGGGGCGGACTGACCATTCGGGAACCCGGGCACTGCCCGAGGGCCCAGGGTCAGTAGGGGGCCCCATGAGATGCCCCTGGCACCTTTCATAGGCTTTTTTGGGTGTGGTTTAAATGTGGGCAAGGACTCAGGGGCCCCATGATCCCCTATTGCCCGGGGGCCCCATGAGTTGTTAGTCCGCCCCTGGTTGCAGCACGGCCCTAGTCACTTGAATGGGTTGTGTATGGCGGGCAGTACAAATGGTATCATTTTTGCCTCGGTATGTGTACAACCCAGTCCAGCCGCCTTTGCAGCTTAAGAGATACGGTTGGGTGAGCTGTAAAAGTGGGACTCAATGGCCTATTTTTATCACCCCCCCAACCGCACAAGTAAACAGGCTCTAACTGATCCCTGGATAGCAGGAGTTCTAATCCTTCCACACACTATCCAAAACCAGTTAAAAATGTAGGCCAGAATCAGTGGGATCATTACCTACAGGGCAGAACAGATGCTTAAAGAAAAAAAGTGAAGAAACTGTGCGGTAAACACGCTATAGATAATTCGTTGCAGGTATTGCTGTGCTTCTTATGCACAAGGCCAGCTCATGGGGGGGTCTATATATAGAAAAAATTGGTTGGACGAATGTTACAAGTATTCGCCTAGCCCTCACAAATTCTTTCCATATTTTGCTTTATTTCCCATGTTCAGCAGCTCCATCTAGTGGCCATAATATACATATTTTTCCTGAAATGCATCAGTTAGGAAAATACTGCATTATGCCCACCAGATAAAACTGATGATCATGGGGGGGGGGTTGCTCATTTTTTTTATATATTTTGGATTTAATCCCTCTTTATGATGAACCATCATCCCTCTATATACCAATGATATATTTTAAAATGGGAGGGAAGGGGGTCTCAAGTGGACCTGTCATGACAGAATGGCCCTGCCTGGACTCTGCAATGGTATGGCCATGATAGCAAAATATATAAAAAAATAAGCCACACGCTCCGATAGAGTCCATTTCTTACTGAAAACATAATAGAAAAAGGAATGGGGAAGCGCTGTAACCCTGTGACAACCAATCAGCTTCTCCTATATCAAAGCCAGGCTTTCTCTTTAAAGCTGAACTCCGGTTTAGGCAAATATTGTCTAAATCCATCCATCCTGTGTATTCTTCCTGGACTCTCAGTGTGCTTTGTGTATTTCTTACAGATCTGTGCAATAATCCAGCATGAGACTTCCTGTAACAAAGACCGCTCACTGCTGCTCTCTCTGCTTGTGCAGGGTGACTGGTCTTGTCTCCGCCCCTTCCTGTAATAAAGACCGCTCACTGCTGCTCTCTCTCCTTGTGCAGGGTGACTGGTCTTGTCTCAGCCCCTTTCTGTAACAAAAGACCGCTCACTGCTGCTCTCTCTCCTTGTGCAGATTGACTGATCCTGTCTCCGCCTCCTCCTGTAGTTTTTTCCCCCAGGCAGCCTTTAGTGGGTGGAGCCTGCTGGGCCCCTCCCACAGGAGCAGTGTATACAGAGAGGGAGCAGTGTATACAGGGAGGGAGCGGTGTATGCAGAGAGGGGAGCGGTGTATGCAGGGAGGGGAGCGGTGTATGCAGGGAGGAGGCGGTGTATGCAGGGAGGGGAGCGGTGTATGCAGGGAGGGGAGCGGTGTATGCAGAGAGGGGAGCGGTGTATGCAGAGAGGGGAGCGGTGTATGCAGAGAGGGGAGCGGTGTATGCAGGGAGGAGGCGGTGTATGCAGGGAGGGGAGCGGTGTATGCAGGGAGGAGGCGGTGTATGCAGGGAGGGGAGCGGTGTATGCAGAGAGGGGAGCGGTGTATGCAGAGAGGGGAGCGGTGTATGCAGAGAGGGAGCGGTGTATACAGAGAGGGTGCGGTGTATACAGAGAGGCTCCCTCACTGGCTGCCACCATATGTCAGTGCCGGTTTTTAAATGCAATCGCTGTTTTGTTTTGTTTTTTCACCATTTTAGCTCGGAAAGAAACTAAAAAGAGAACTTTGTTTCTTTTAGCTCCATGAAAGTGACAGCTGATTCTCTGAGCTATAATGAAGGAAACATCCCCCCCCTCCCCCAGCAATTGCAATGACAGCCAGACATTGTATATTCTGCTCCTCTCCTGCCTTTGTCCGCCCCCCCCCCCCCCCCTCATCTGCAGCACACACAGTCCCCTGTATCGGCACTTGTATCGGCTACATTTTTCCTATCAATAGAGCTATTTTCAGCCGATATGTTTCGGTGCATCCCTAATATATATATATAAACTGCAAATGTCTCAGCATTCACACAGTCATCACAAATAATCCCCACAATGTGTCTAATATTTGTGTTTCCTATGATCATCAGCTCCACCTAGTGGCCATAATGCAGTATTTTCTGCAATACATAATGGCCACTAGATGGAGCGTACGAACATAGGAAATATAGGAAATAAACATGTTAGACACAATACAGGTATTGAATAAAATAAACAGTAAGCGCTCAATACTGATGGCAGCAGCTGAACATACAGGAAAACGCATAAGAAGTCCCACAATACGTAAATATATAAATGCAGCGCTTAAGAGTGATAAACACAGTCCGGTGAAAGGAGTGCTCCGTGATTCCTAGTGCAAATGGTGGAAATTTACACTAACCAGAAAGCGTAAAATAAAACGCATGTATGTATATATCCTATGGGATCGCCTTCTCCACTCGGATCTGGTCAGAAGAATAGCCGGAAAAGGTAGGTGTCCTGCGCCCTCATGTGGTGAAAGTGTGGTCCAGCAGGTCAGAAAGATGCCAATCTGAGAAAAGTCTCCCCCGTCCTAGAAGATCCTTAGGGGCTGTGAAAATGCAAGAAGCTCCTCACAGGAGACACAGGGGAGTACTCATAGTGTAGTAGATACTAGATAAGGCTTTATTTATAAAACATCTGTGCACAATGAACAGGGTATAGGCAGATATGGATGAAACACACTGACCCCTTGATAACAAAGATGGCCGCCGGGCCTCCTCGTGGCACCGGCGGCTTAGTGTCAACGACGTCCTGGGTCCCACTGACGCGTTTCGTGCGCACGCACTTCTGACTGTGTTTATCACTCTTAAGCGCTGCATTTATATATTTACAATACAGGTATTATTCACAATGGCTGAGCGAATGCTGAGACATTTTTAATCTCTGAACGCAAACGTGCAAACGAGCGAAGGCTGAGCCTAGACGCCAAGCGGCCGCACATTTGCGTTCTATTAAAAAAGGACATATGTGCTGAGAGCGCTCCCACCACACATGTCCAGTACTCACGGAAAGGTCCCGATCTCCCCTTTCGATCGGGACCTTTCCCAATCATGTGACTGCCGTGACGACATGTCACGGCGGTCACATGACCCTAAGCCCCGCCCCACCTCCCAGCTTCAGAAACCCTTAAAGGGCCGGGAGG